CGCCATGCGGCATGCCGTACCTTCCGTACGCTTACGACAATTGGGTTGAGCATAGTAATAAGCTCTGGGTGCAACAGCCCGATGGGATCCCCCGGAGTGTCCTGTCGTACGCATGGGACACATGCAGAGGGGGGAAGGGAAACGGGGCGGAGGGGGGACGTCCTGGGAGGGGGGGAAAGACGAACCACGTGAACGAGTGAAGCTGATGCCAAGGGGGATATGATACTGATACGCCGGAAGTGGTAAGGGGGGGCGACCCGGGAAGGGGGGTGTTGGGGACCGGGACCTTAAGTATAGGCTGGGATCGAATAAACACCGATCCCCGCTGATAACGACTCAAATACTCACACAGCATGACGAAGCATGACGTCACGACACCATGACGTCTTCACGACACCATGACGTCTTCACGACACCATGACGTCTTCACGACACCATGACGACCTAAACGCACGAGGTGCAGCAAGAAGCACCTAGAAAGGAGTAATCGGTTGGACCATATCCTTGGCTAGCCGCTCAGTCGTTTCGAAAATGGACACACACAAAAACCACATCCTTTTGTCCATCATCCAACCACCAAAAGGGATTCCAACCAACCCACCTTTAGTTCGGGTGGTGGAGGGGGCTCCTCCTCCTTCTTCTTCTGGGCCGCAGGAGCCCTCTTGCCCTTGGCCGACGGCGGGGTGGGTGGCGGCGGGGGGGGAGGCGGAGGAATGCTGAGCAGCTGGATGTCCGCCTGAGGGTGGGGTGTCGGGGTGAATTGTACGGAGGGCGGCGTGTCGGGCAGCGCGGGGAGAGCAGGGCGTGCGAAATGAATGACGAGACAAGTATGGTACGACGGTGCGACGATACAAGACAGTGGAGTTGTTGTGACGAAAGGCCATGTATTGAAAGGCCAGGGCCCTGACCCCTACGGAACCTGCCCTACAGGACTACTAGAGATATCTTCACTCCAAGGCGATGAGTCGTCGGGAGGACGGAATCTCTCGTCCCTCTAAGCCGCCGCTGTCCCAGAGCCCTCGTTCGCCTTCCTCCCCGAACCCCCGAACCCCGCACCCCCCGCGCACCTCGAGGCTCTCCGCCACCTCCTCCAGTCGGGTGGGAATGCCCTTGGTCTTGTCGGGCCACATTGAAGATGCCGCCTTCTCGCCCACTAGCAGCCCGCTACAGTCCAGCATAACCACCGCCGAGTAGTTTCGCATCGGGGTGGGCGGACGGGCCTCCGGACCCGCACCCGGGCCACGGCTCTTTGATCCCGCCAGTGCCTTGGGCTTGGACGGCGGCGCGTCACCCTCCGGCGCCGGCGTCGCCATCGTGATCGTCAACGCCAACATGCCGTGCGCGGCAGCGAGAGATCGTACGGCAGCCTCGTCTACTGCTACCTTGACGTGGTGCTCCACATCCACGGTGGCGTACGGCAAGTTGGCAGCAGCGGCACCCGCTTGCGGCGGCGCCGCGGCCGTCGGTGCCGGCAGCGGCAGCGCCGCCGCCGCAACCGTGTCGGCCGGCGGCGCAGGTAGCTCCGGTTTCACAGGTTTAATCGGCCCAAGGACCTGCTCAGCTCCCGTGAAAGGCGTGTACTTGACCGTTAGGACGAGCGTCGCGGGGTCAACGGGTTTGGCAAGGGCGGCGGCGGCGGCCGCCGCCGCAGCCTCCGCTGCCGCTGCTGCGGCAGCGGCAGCTGCCTTCTTCCTGGCCGACGCGGGCGTGGACGGCTTTTTGGGAGGCGACTTGTTGCCCTTGCCGCCCTTTCCTGGCGGCGTTGGATCCGGCGGCGGGCTGGGTGCGTGCGGCGGCGGCGGGTGGTCCTGCGCGACCCACGCCGGTCAGACAGGACGCGGCCGCCACGGGCGGGCAAAAGTGTATTTATTGGTGGTGAGACCTGGGCCGGGCCGGGCGGCAGCCTAAGAGAGAGACCACCGGTACACACAACCCGTCAGCCTCCTCCCCATCCAAACCCCCCCATCCCGCTGGCTGCTTGTCCCTGTACTGCTGCTTGTCCCTCGCACCTCGCCACCTCGTAGGTCGCCGACCATTAACCCGGGACACAACCCCTCATTGGTTCCCGACCCAGATTCCAATTTTTGAAACAGGCGCCAGAAAAACAGCGAAATCTTATCCGAGTCGCTTCCGCCCACACCAACTCGCGCCCTTGCATCCCCCTCCCCCCCCATCCCGGCCACCACCGGCTGATCCACGGCCGCAGAGCGCCAGGCGGCCTGCGGTGCCCCGCACGAGCATCACGGCCCGCAGCGCCCCCTCCCTTCCCCCTTTCTTTTAACCACCATGATGGCACACAGCCCGCGGCGTATCGTGGGGCGGCCACCACCACCATGGTGCACTGGGCTATATGATTTCCTGGGTCATGTTTTGGGGCGGGGCCCCACACGGTGTTTTGTGCAGTACAGCGCATATCGGGTTTCCCTGCTGACGCCCCCTCCTGCCCCTGTCCTTTCCTCTCTTGCGGATTCTGTCCTTTCCTCTCTTGCGGAAGAAGTGTGCGTGTGAGGTCTCTCCACCGGTCTGGAAGATGGTGATTCCGCTGCCTGCGCCTACCTGTGGTGGCGGTTCCGGAGCCGGTGGTTTCAACCGCAGGCGGACCTTGAGCCTGCAGAAGCGGCGAGGCGGGGTCGGAAACGGGGCCGAACGAAAAAAGTAGTTTGGAGGGCTCTCGGGGTGATATGTACATACAGGCATCTGGGGTGCCGCTGGTGCTGGTGCTGGTGTTGCTAATGGTGGGCTAGCCTTGTCAGTCCTGGCGTTAGGAGGGGGGAGGATTAACGGGCGGTTTTTGCTGTAATACGGCCCCATACTTGGCTGGTTTGGTCTAGGGCTCCAGGTCCACGTGGACTTGGGGCTCCGGAACCAAAGGCACGAGAAGCAGTTAAAGCAGCGCGGCGCCGAGCCCTGCACCTGCCTGAGATCTATGAAAGTATAACCCAGAAACTATCATCTTAAGGGGTTATGGTTGAGCGCGGTTGGTCAGGGGTGGGAGGAGCTTGACGCACTTACACGAGGTGCACCTCCTGTACAGGTCCCACAGGTGGAGGTGGCTGGACTGGCTCCGGTGGAGGCTTCGCCCTGTACATCGGGATTGCAGTAATGTAATCTTAATAACCTGGGTCTGTTCGCCGATGCTTTTGAAGGGCTTTACGTACTTCGGCGCCATGGGGCCTGTTCCAGTTCGCCTGCTACACGGCAGAAGCTCCTATTTTTTAAAAATTGCATAATATCATTACATGTGCCATGGCATGGTCATGCCCACAGCTGCCTCAGCACCTCCGCGGTTCTTAGAAGCAAAAGTTATGGGTCTGGCCAAGTGTCAAATATCGTACTATCAGAACTTGGCAAACAAAGAAAGAAGATTAGATGTAATCAACGCACAGTAGTGCATTGCTGTATACCTATATGCCGGACGATGGCTTACGAAGATACGATGACCTCCCCAAAATATTTGGCTAAAGCAGGGCGTAACTCTCCATAACAATTCAATTACTTCCGAGAAACTTTATGGATTATCGCTCATGCGACATATCGCAAATCCAAGGGCTTGACGAGTGCTTCGAGTAAGGGAAAGTACACGGGCACGAATTTCTCCTCAATTTTCATTTACGGATATTTTGAGGGTGACCGCTGGAGGTAAATGCAACAGATCGAGGGATAACGCACACACCAAACGCCCTTGCAGTTGGCGCTGCGGACCTGTAGCGCTTTTCGCATTTCACCACCCATGCTTTCCTCTTAATGGTTACATTGCAAGGTATTCTGGACGACAGACATTACGCCTCGTAACTACCTTACAACCATGGACGACGACATTCACCTCCAGCGATACCGTTAAAAGGATTGACACAAAATGCTGTGCGACGAGCAAGCGGATTTTATCCAACAAGTCCCGCTCTCAAGGCCATGAGAAGGTCGGCGGAGCTTCTCCGCAGCCGCGGCCCAACCCCAGACACGACAACACGTACAAGCTCAAAGAACCACATGTCGATGGCATGCAAGTTTGCGCTAAGCCGTCCAAGCCCAATATCGCAAAGATGCCCTCTCCCAGGTCGTGTTCATGTACCGGTATCAGGTCATGCAACCTCTGGAACATGTCTCAGACACACTCACGCGCATTTCACACGGCCACACACATATACATAATACGTGCACACACAAATGCCGGAGTTTGGCATCCTACAAAGCCCCAACTTCCCCTCTGTCTTGGCGACATGCAAACCGTGTACGTGCTTCCGGGACAGCTCAGTTCAGAAAAAGAGAGTCACGGCAACAAAACCCACATCAATTGTCGTCCGGTGCATCTCTCTGCTGTTGACATTACGAAAGGGCGAGCGCCGACCATCAAGACTGTGTAACTGACAGACGCATTCGAGGCTGGCGCGCAAGACCGCGGTGTGAGTTGCGACAGTTTTGGTCCAGCAGTCAAAGCCAGCGCGTTCAAGTCAATGACGCCTGGGCGCTGTCCACCAAATCCCTGTACATGACGCCATCCAAACGACAAGTCCAAAAGTTATCATCATCATCATCATCATCATCATCAAAGGCTGCCTTCCATCTCCATAACACAGCTTATTGCACATGCGTACAGAGGCAGGTACAACAACGCAACGGAAAAGGCTTAGCCATATCTCCGAGTATCAAGGTGAACATCAGCACTAGAAGTGTCGCAATAAACTTGGAACTTTTCCCCACTCCACTACCGATGCATCAGGGTATTTTACACCGAACTGCCATGCGGTTATCGGAGACGAGGCGCTGTTATGCAAAGCAACCCAACGCAACAAGAGTTCACACACACACACACACATATATACACACACATACATACGAACACACGTGCAAGCTGTAGCGAACGGCGGGAGCACTTCTACTTTTTTGCCGTTGGCGTCTTCCTGCCGGCGGACACCTTCTTGGGCGACGCGGACTTGGTTGGGGATTTACCCGGGGCCACCTTCTTGGCTGGCTGCAGCGGCTGAGGAAGGAGCCCGAAAATAGCGAACACCCAGGGATTACAAATGTTGGAAGGGTCCTTGACCTTAAAATGGGTGTACAGCAGGGCAGTGGTGCGCTGCGAAGCTACGGGCCACTGCGCGAGATGGTGCTTCTGAGGGTGATCGCTAAATCCTTCCTTCCATCCTCCGGAGCGCCTTTTGGCTTCACCACTTAACTTCTGGTAACCAGGGGGCGGAACAGGCCGGTCAGGAAAGCAGGTCATCACGCACCACCATACAGGGTAACATCCATCCCGTCCTGTCCTAATATAACAGAACGTCAGTGAGAAAAAAGTTTGTCTCAATTTCTTTGTCTGGAGGAGCTTCCTCGCGGTCCTCATTTAATCATTTGTTTTAATCATTTGTGCTTCTCCCTACTGCCCCTTCCAGCCGCCCATCTGCGCAGCTGCTTTGACGCCTCCCTTCCACATCGCCCTCGTTTGCGATTTCTTCCTTTAACTTCCCTTCCACGTAGCCCACGGGGCGTCTTTGAAAATTGATTTTTTGTTGTTAAAGTTTTATTTATCCATTTCGTGGGGCATACGGAGACGGCCGTATGCAGACGGGAAGCAGCCGTACGGACGTGCGTACATCTGCCCCGTACCCGTTAACCACTTGTGAATGACGAGACAGCCCCCGCCCATTCGCGCACTGCAGGGTGGTCCTACCACCCCCCAGCACCTGGTGCACCCCGCCAGACTTAGTCTGGAGCCCACTGTAACCACCACATACAGACAGAGGGGGCTGCACCGCAACAAACCCGCGGCCAGGCCCTAAGCCAGCCACACGTACCAACCAATGAAGCTCCCTTGCCTGGAGCAAGGCAGCGTAGCGAAGGTGTTGTTCAGCTTAAGAGGCGCAACCCTCGGAACCCGCTTACCACTTTTGTCGGCTTGGCCTTGGCCGCTTTGGGCTTATCCGCCATATCCGATTTGGGCTTATGCATCTTCGGCGAATCCTTCTTGGCCTTGTAGGCCTTCACCTTGTTCGTCTTGACTTTCTCTTCCCGGGGCTTCTTCACCTTCTTCTTGGCTTCCTGATAGCAGGTTATGGTACGAGGGTGATGTAGCGGGCCGCGCACATGCTGTTAAAAGATATCAGGTGTGCGTGTTTAATTTGAAAACGTGGTGAGTGGTAAGAATTTGCAGCAGCGTCCCGCAAAGATGAAAGCAAGTGGGAAAGGAAAGCAAGTGGCTTTCACCTTACTCAAGGTTGTTGCTAACGGCCTGTGTTGTGCGTTGTGTTGTGTGCGAGAAAACGGTGGGGCAGGCCCTGTGATGCGGACGCGTGCGGACACGTGAGAGTGGCGCAACGTTGTTCAGCGACCTTCCGAGTACTGGCTCCTTTTGGTCCCTTATCGAGGTCCCTGGCCGAGGTCCCTGATCGGTCCCTGATCGGGGTTTTGATCGAGGTCCCTGGCCGGGGTTCCGAATTGTGCACCACGTGACCCTCGTGGATCCTGCACCGCGTCCCCATTATTCGTTGCATCAGCGGTAAAGTTCACTAGCAAAATACAGGCTGCGGTACAAGGGGCCGAACGTGGGCTCTAATGCAAGATTTCGGCGCAAAAAAAAATTCGCGTCCCGTGCAAAATTCGACCCAAAATCAAAGGCAATGTTTTTTAAAATCACGCACCTTGTCTGGCTTGCTGGCTTCCTCCTTAGGCTTGGATCCCTTGGCCTGCTTCTTGGGTGGAGGGGCCGCCGCCTTCTCCGGCTTTTCGACCGGCTTCTTGGGTTTCGCGGGTGCCTTCTCCTGGCCCTCCGGCATTGCGGCATCCGTAAGCTTTTTAACCTTGTTATCCTGGAAAATGAGACATGTCGAGAGTTGCACGTTTTGCTTTTCCCAAACGTGTCAATGGAAAAGAACCGCGGTTCTTGACAGTCAACCTCGGGAGGGGCCCGAATGCAAGTCACGAAATTATTATAACCCAGTCCATCCAACTTTCAATCATATCATAATGCAATGCAAAGAATTCAATGCAAAGAACTCAAGCGGAAGCGAAGTATGGGGTGCAGGATACGCGATATGGATGAACATTGACTTTCGGCGGCATTTCCACGGCGTTTCCGAGCATGCCTTGCCTGCCATCTTTCATCTAATTTGTTTTTGTGTTTTTCCCATTATCTTTGGGCGGGCAGTGCGGAAAATTTTGCCACAAGTACTCGAAACCACGCGGAAAGCATCAGCCAGTTCCCAGACCTCGCAACCCCCGCAAACCTGTTTCCTAAAAAAATCGCATAAATGTTTCCATAACATTTAGGAGTGAAACTCACTGAACAAGTGTAAGTGCACACGCGCGATTCCGGCGCGGCTACGATTGTTGCGACCCTTAGCGACCCACCTTCGCCTTCACAGCCTTCTTCAACTCGTCGCTCAGCTTGAAAGAGGCCTTCACCTTCTCGAGTTTTCCTTGATCCGCAAACGTTTTCAGGTAATATGCCAACCGCTTGGGCCATTTTGGGTCAGATATTTCTGCGCCGGCGCCATAATACCGATGTTGCACATCTTTACAAGCCGCAAAAACAAACATTGCAACTTACCTTTCCCGTAAAGCTCCTCGACCTTTTTCGTTATCGCATGCTGACTCGAACCTGAGGAAAAGCAGCTCGTCGCTGCTGGACCAGGCTGAACCTGCTCCGTGGCACAGTAGGCATGTAAGCTCACCCGTCCTATCCTTCAGCGCTGCAATAGCCTCCGTAATCATCTCAAGATATGTTGGGTGCGTTGGAGGTGCCCTCAGCTTCTTCGGCTTGTCATTCTTTTTGGGGTTGGGCGCCTTGGCAGCAGCGGCTTCCGCGGTATCGGCCATACTGACACAGATAACTAGGAAGGTAGTCTTATAACGGAGAGCGAACAAATCCAATATTCTATCCCTGGGAAAATTACTCAAAAATGACTTGGGTTTTTGTCGTTCAAGGTCGAGGAGCGCATAATGCTAGGGCGCATCGCCTGGCCCACGGGACTCTGGAAATCCACGGGAGGCCCGTTTGGCTTTGAAGGCTGACAGCTAGCATAATGGACACTATGACCGTATCTTTCCATGATTTAAGAGCCGTAAACATAAATTAGATCTAAGGAGAAATATTTCTGGAGTTTGCAGCCTTGTTTGTCAGGATACGATAGCGACGCGCAGCCGCTCGACCGCTGTATCTGTTGTAGGCACCAGAAAATCCTAAAAATAAAAAATTCCAGGTATCTTATGGCCCCGTCGATGTTGTGAATGAAGCGCATATGTACAAGCTGCTCATCTGCAACCTGACAGTCTTCACGCCTAAAGCGCTCTATCTAGTCGGCGGCTCCCAGCCCAGGCAAACAGACAGGGAAATATTCACACTGGCGTAGCTAAGCTAAGATTGTCGAGGGTTAAAATCTCACTCAAGTCGCCCATAACCCAAATCGCTCCTGCCTTTCCGTGCTTTACATGTTTTAGCAGCATCAACCCTTCAGCAATAAAATAACACCAGAACACAATCTACGGCAAAACGGGTGGTCTTAAACAACTGCGACCGCGGTCCCACGTGTTGAGACGTCGCCTACTGGTGTGTGCGTTACCCACCCACTTAAGTCCCACGCAATCATGTAGCCGTGCTTTGCTAACAGGCAGCCGTGCTTTCTAGCCCTGTGTCTACATGGCAAGCGAGTCTAATAACAGAGGTACATGCGGGTATATGCCTTCATCCGCAACCGCTATTTACCTGCCGAATTTATCCCTACCTTCCTCTTGCTCTGTTGTGGGTAGGGAAACTTTGTAGTCAATCTATCAACATAGGTTTACCGACATAGACTTAGTGAACTTGTTAAATTCAGTGTCCTTCCGAGGTTCAGCGCCCACCACCAGCATCCAATAGATTCATGCTGTGTTATGACATTGGTGTCGTCAAGTCTATAATCCTGGTCGGCTCGCAGGCCACTATAACACGTATGCCGCCGCACCACTTCCATCCCTCCATCCCTTTGAGGCATGTCTGTGTACTCGGTCATACACGCAACAGACATGAAGCAATTCTCCTGACACCCGCAACATCAGCTGACCCATGATCTGTACGTAGTTTGATACAAAAAACATCTGTACTCTAGTGCGCAGGAAAGAGCCTAACTAGGCATTTTGCATCTGGTACACCTTACTTTTTACGAACAGGAGACCGCCGTTGCTACCACTGCTTGGATTGCTAGAAAATTATGGCACGGGCGCGCTTGTACTTAGCCGTGTTGAGCGTGTATGTATGTAAGCCTGTGGGCGGGAGTCACGTTCTCCATCCCTGGAGAACCGGGGTCCTGTGTATAAGTCTCCAAACTACGGCAGCCATTCTGATACTCTCCCATGGATGGATAAACATGCCACCCACGACCAACGTTTCCAAGACCTGCTTACGTGGACTGGCGACGACTGCCTGCGGAACTATTGTCGTACAGCGCTCACAGCACACGACGCGACTGCTGGATGCATGGATGCGGGGCGCCGCCACGCAATTGACTATGCGGGGCGCCGCCACGAAATGATTAGCATCACCGTGCCCGAAGCAGCAGGGCTCATGAAGCAGGGAGAGCGGCGGATGAAAGCTGAAATGGAGATATGGTCGGCGTTAGGCTAGCAATGCAGCTCGTGGGTGCGCTCTTTTATTTTCCTTTGTGACATACACAAAGGATCCGTCGGTTGGGTTGTACGGCCGGCTGCCAGGTTGTCAGGTTGACAGGATCACACAGTCACACAAACATTATATATATTATATATTTAGGTGTTAGGGTGCTCGGGTGAAGGGATATTTGCAGTTCAGATTCAATACAAATCACATATGTGTGTATATTTGTGTGGCCTCCTTCAAAACAGCGACCTGTTGGGTGTAAGCAGGCTGCCTAGCTGACTGCTACATGCGGTGGGAGCATTTACATAGCAGTGTTCCCACATCGGCCATACGAGCATCACTAAACTCGGATTATACTCTTGGTCCATAACAAACATTCCAAAACGTTATATCGCCTTTACGGCTGCTGCTGCTGCCCCGCCGCTGCTAATCCTATTGTCACTGTTGCTGGTTAGGGTTTCTGGAGGCTTCTGCCGCTGTTAACATTATAGCTGCGGCTGTTGTTGTTACTGCTGCTGCTGCTGCTACTGCTCTTGGCGCCCATTCTGATGGCGGTCAAACGTAGCACTTCCGCCTGCACCCTCAGCTCCGCCGCCTGCGGTGACATTTGCCTCCACGCGTTCCTCTGTCACCTCTGTTACCTCTGGCCCCTCAACAGTCGAACTCCCGCCCGGCGACGGCCCTAACCCCGCCCGCCCAACCACCGCTTCTGCCGCCGGTTGGTCTGCCACCTCGCCGGCTGGCCGCTCCACAGCTATGGCCGACACCGCCGCAGCAGCAGCATCTGGCGTTTCTGAAACAGCTGTAGTCGTTGTCGCCTGCTGCTGTTCTTGCCGCTTCTCGAGTGCCGCTCGCCTCCGGGCCTCCAGCACCTTGGCACGGCGCTGTGCATCGCACACATATAACATGTACACGTCAGGCAATACCACACAGGAACATCACAGGGACGCTACACACGTACCCACAGGCACCTACATGCACCTACATGCACCGCCGTGTTCGCGTATCAGAGGCACGGCCACGGTGCGCTGGGCACAGGTCTGGAAAAGAAACCTCAAACACGATCCGCGCAACCCGGATCGAGTTACTTGGCAGCGCGAATTTCATTCACTATTATACATATAAAAATGCCTGTGTTGGCTGTGAGCGAAATCAGGCCATGCATTCCAAGGGTAAACCAATGCTGCCCTTGCACCAACCCACATGCGGATCATGACCTTCATAATTACCAGCAACACAGCGGATGAGGCTCACTACCTCAAGACTACCTCACCTGCACCGTTCTTCGCAGGCCCAACCTCTGATATGCGGACACCAGCAGCTGGGCAGCCAGGCTACCTGCCAGTGGAGCCGCCAAGTTGCCAGTCAACAAAAAGGACGCGCCCGATGCGGCCACCTGCAAGACCCAGCCAGAAAAACAGCTGACCGGAGTGATAGAGACGGGGCGGCGGCGACGGCACGGACAGGTGGCTGGGGGGGCAGTGTGCTGCAAAGCAGGCCACAAGCCAGGAAGTAATGTGGTCGGACGTACAGATGTGTGCCGTACATGCCCTTGACTTGCAGGTGCGTGGTGGGGGATTCCAGAGAGGAGTAACGGAAGCCGGTCAGGCGGACATGGACGTGGATGTGAGGGCCTACAACCTCCCAAGAAGGCCTACAACCTCCCAAGAAAGCAAACGGTCTGACGGCCAATTCCAAGAAATCAAATGCGTGAAAATAATATTAGAACAACAAGGATTGGACAGTCACACAAGCCACTCAATCCCTGACCGAACCCACTGCATGCATGTTTATATTGGTTGCTTAATGCGCTTCTTCCTCCTTGGCCTGTGTCGCACAGCTTCGCGTTTTTCCGTAACTCGCCGCCGGTGCCCTTTCCCCACCACCCATACGCACGCGCCCGCCCGCCTGCCCGCACCTGGTACACCTCCCTGCCGCCCTCCATCATCCACACCAGCGCCCCCTGGACTCCTATTGAGGCAACCAGACTGGCTTGGGCGGCCTGCAGCCGGGCCTGATTAGGAAACATGCACACGGCCGAAGGGAGGAGGAGGAGGCGTCAGGTTGCTGTCTTTCGCAGGGGAAGGACGAAAGAAAAGAAATGAAAACAGCGGGCACTAGCCACCCACCATCCACTCGTATGTTACTCAGTCACCCCACCCTCTTCATCATCTTCTTCTTCTTCTTCAGGACCACACACAGCCTACATGGCCTCTAAAGTGGCTCCACTGTCAGCTTCAATCGACCCAGGTACGTTTCCAGAGCACACATACACACACACGGTTCAATGTGTCTCGCCGTTCCCACACCGCCCCCCGAACCCTAACAGGTAAACACCCGCTGCCGCCAGCTCACCACCTTCTCCCGCTCCTCCAGCAGCTGCGCCTCCGTCATGTGCACTTGTCCCAGCAGCCGCTGCTTACTGAGCAAAAGGGCGGTAGGGGGGAAATTACACGTGCAAGAAGCGAATTGTCAAACCGTCAACTGACTTCCAACTGCACCAACCGCTGCCTTGGGAGCCAAAGAGATGATGGGTATGGGAGTGGGGGCTGGGTGAGTGTGGGAAACGAGTACACGAAGGAAGCGGGGAACTGAAAAACAGCGAGTTCGTAGGAAGCGATGGCCAACGTGAAAACTGCCATCAGTCCATTGACCATATGACGAGGGCGCGACCGACCGACCGACCGACTGACAGACTGACCGACTGACAGGCCGACCAACCGACCGCTGTGTGTGTAGAGGGGTAGAGGGGGACTTCGGCCTGTCGGTAGAAATAGAACCCCTGAACTGACCGACGAGGCAGGCAGGGACAGAAAGCCCTGGAGCAGCTCCAACACGGCAACAAACGGGCAGGCGGCTGGCAGAGGTTAAGGCCTGGCTTCTACTCCCGATGCGCCCCGGCGCGTCCGGGTTCAAATCCGCCTGCCGACCTCTCGGGGAGTATGAGAGGTGATGAATTGGGAGGTGGCCCCCCATCTTGTGGACGGTGTAGGACGTGATAAAATCAACTCGCGAGCTGACCAGGAACTAAGTTGACGCGCCGTTGATCCGCTAGATTTGGTTGGATGCTGGTGGTGAGTTGCCAAACTCAAAGAGTACACTCTGAAGTCGGATGGGGTGAATGGATTAGGGTGCCCCTCTCGCAGGGGAGAGCAGGGAATTGCCTCGGGAAGGAGGCCATTGGTGAAGCTTAACCACCCTGTAACAACATCAACATCAACAAACGACCCTCGCAAAATTTGAATCCGGCTTTTGGATTTGGATTTGGATTTAGAAGCTGCGGCGCCAACTGCCAGACAGGAGGCCTTATCCTAAATTTTCAAATATTGCAGCATGATCCATCTCTTACACCTCCTGCAGCAAAATTCCAAAATTCCAAGAAATGAAGACCCTCCGGGCCCCTCCGGCTATATGTGTCAGGAGTTCAGGAGGTATGGACTCCTTTGCAGTTTATTTGGCTACATGCATACGTACGCACACGTACCGGAGCTCCTTGGCGGCCTCCTCTGCCTGGGCCGCCTGCACCGCACGTAGCCGCTCAGCCAGACGGGTTTCCTATACCGCCCGAGAACAAGGTACATGGGATGGGAGGGTAAAGAACATTACCAGCAAAAACCAGAGGAAAAAAGAGGAGAGATATGGTAGAATTGTGGGGTGGGTTATTAATAGTTCCGAGGCTTTATACTGCAAAAATATTATTATGCTATAATTATTATATAAATAAATATTATCAAGTAAAGAGTCGACAAATGCCGATGACGTCCAACGTGTCGTACCGTACCAACTGCCGAAAGAGTCCAAAGCAAGGGTAGCGTTTGGGTCACGTCTACAGGTTCCTCAACTCCCCGGGGGGTTTCCCTCCCCCCCCAGGGGGTTGCCACTCGCGCGACGATTGTCCGTGTGTGAGGTGACACGGCACTGTATACACACACGACACGCGGCGACATGAGGCCCAAGGAATGCATGGGGCGGAGGGGAGACCGCACACGGCGATTCCAGCCGGGAGCCGCAATTCACACGGCGATTCCAGCAGCTGTTGCTCCCCCGTTGCTCAACGTACTTCGCTGACTGTTATCGCAAAGGTCGCCCAGTTAAGCTGGCATACGTCTTACCCGACACTTCCCACACGGCCCCGTTCCCCTCCCCCCCCTTAAGCGGGTAAGACTTCCCCTCCCTCCCTTTCCACACACCAAGAAGTTACAATCCAAGTCGGATCCTCCAAAGCGTGTTTAGCCCGTGGTTCCCTCCTCCTCCTCGTCCCCTCGTCCTCCTCCGGGCCCCAAAGACCCGCCTCCCATTCGCCCAACCCTACCTCATCCCCTGCCTTCCCCATCCACACGCATCATGATCGCACCAGGGATCGAACCCAGAAACGACGTACCTGCCAAGCCTTGGCCGCGAACACCGTCGCCCCCAGCGCCAGACCCACTCCGAGAGCCGCCCACTGCGCCGCTGCAGCGGTGTCCAACTCCCAAGTGCCGCCGCCACCGCCATAACCGCCCAGCAGCAGCTGCAGCTGCAGCGTCAACACCTCTTCCGCACCCCCTTCGTAAGCCCGGTCTCGGAGCCAGAGGCCAAGCAGGGTCAGCAGTACGGCACGGTACAGCATCTCTTCCGCTGTAACGGCTACCAGGATGACTACGGCTTCTTGTACGGGAGTCAGTCGGCTCCCTGGGTTGTTCCGAATGGAGGATTCCTGCAAACGTATGTGGGTTTGAAATGAACCGACCGCGAGATGTATGTGTCTGTCTGTCTGTATGTATAAATGTGCGCCAGGGGATAGGACAGAACCGTACTGACAGTAGAGTGGGGCCCTGGTGTGCTTGTTCGTACATTAGCCAAATCACACACCCATAGCACCCATATCTATAAATTTCTATAAGTGTAATACACCCAATATGCAGCACATGTATGTATGTATGTATAGCAGTGTTCCGTTCCCACCCCAGCCACCCCCGCACCTGCATGAGCTCCAAGGCCATCCGCAGCCGCTGAGCAGCAGCCCACAACCGCCCCAACTCCTCCTTCTGAGTCCCGATAGGGGTGGGGCCGTTACTGGCACTGCTGACGCTACTGCTGCTAGTGATGCCACCGTCCCTACTGCCGCTGCTACTGCTAGGCGCGTCTGCCGCTGTCGTAGATGCCGTACTGCTGTCCACTGCCGTTTGCCGTGTCCCCGGTGTAGACCTGGCGGCTGCGGGGATAGCCGCTGGTCTATTCAGATACTCCGCAGCATCGGTATGCGTTTTGCTGGATGATGATGATGATGATGATGATGGTGATGGTGATGGTGATGGTGATGGTGATGGTGATGATGATGATGATGGTGATGATGAATCAACGCCGGCAACGCCACTAGTACTTTCGTAGGTGGTGCTATTGCTTGATACGTTGCCGCTATGGTGCCCTGATGTATCAGCATCTGCGGCTTCAGTGGATGACATCAACGTCGAAACTACTGCTGCTGCTGCTTCTGCTGCTTCTGCCCTTCTTTCATCTTTGGGGGAGACGGGGAAGGAGGAGGAGGCTGCAGCGCGGTCGCCGGGAGAAGGAATGGCTGTTGTCCCCGTTCCCTTGCCTTCTTTTCCGTTTCGGAGCAGTTCCGGATCCACAAACAGTCGTACAATCTGGGCCGCATCCTCCTCACGGCTGGTCCAGTCAGGGAGTCCCACAAGCCCGTCAAAAACCATCGCCGGAACCATAAAACCCACTCCCAATGCCACGTCAGCTGAGTCCCAGTGCAGCCCGCCAAAGGCGTCTAAGTGCGCGAGCGCCGCAATTAGTACGGCAGCCGTGCCGTACACTCCGCCATACTCTGCCAGCAGCAGGATCCAGTAGCGAAGCTGGGAGGACAAGCCATCACCGGTGTTTGGCCCGCGGGGCCCGCCTGGTTGATGAGGGGGTTTGGGACCTGGGCCCCGGCTGGTGCTGGTTCTGGAGCTGCTGCTGGGACCGGCAGTTGGGGGTTGGCTGTCGTTGGACGTGGGAACGTCAACGCCCGACGGGGTTGTTGTTCCCTGGGATTGTGGCGGCTTTGCTTCCGTGCAGAGAAGGCGTTGTTGTGGGCCAGAGCACATGATTCGGGCATCTTGCGCTAGTGTTGAAGCGACGCCGCTGGCTTTGCTTAGCGGACATCGCTGCCGCAAGGACAGGCGCAAAAGGGGCAGTAGCGCCTGGGGAACATCAAGCACGATGGACTACTTTAGTGAAGCAAAGGGTTTACAGATCACAGGGGAAAAACAAGCTTTAATCCTGCTTAATAATTAATGCCACCCACATGTGGGGTCCCAAGCTGGTGCGTTCGCCACGATGATGGTAGAAAGTTCGATTTCAGAGCCGCAAAACGTCCTCACATGACTTACCTTCTTAGGGTACCAGGTCCTTCCGTGTATATTGTGTAAAGCTATAACCATTGTAACACCCGCTCCGCAACCCTTTTCAGACGCCGTTGAATTTGATGTTGTCACTACTTCAAAGCAAAATGAAACATCAAGCTAAAATACGGAGATATGTCCAAAGATGAAATTGCATGTAAGCGTCGCGCTGCTGCAAGGCTGCTTAGTCGCAATCTTTGTCAGACTGTTGTACAAGGTCTTTTGCGACAATTGTCTGCAATGCTAGATAGCCAAAAAGTCGACAGACTTCTTCTTATTTCTTTCAATAATAGATTAGATCTTAAGTCACTCGCGTGGTTCACGAGTACCACGACGAGTGTCCTTTACACCGTAACCTGTTTATGCTTCGGTGATTATAAGCATCAAGTTCCAGTACTTGGGCTGCTATCTATGGACTTGTGTTTTTCTCTATAGCATCGGGGAGTTTGCTGACTGTTCCGCTTAACCAACTTCCACCGGAATAATGCGACTCGCGTCGCGCAGTGTCCTAACCTTAGGAAGCTGTTCCAGATGCACAGCTGGAGTATACTCGATTGAATGGAATGGCATTAGGTTGTGGTCTGCTGCTTGTGGGCCGGCAACCAGCTCAGTTCCAGAGAAGCTCCACGTTTGCATCGTCGGTTCTGGCCCTGCAGGCTTTTATACCGTCGATCGGGTGAGCTCATGTTTAGGACCTGCCCAAATCAGCAAACCATCCTTCCGTTTTACGTCTTTGTCGTGGACTTCAAGTCCGTCGACGCAGCATTGTTTGACATCCCTATATTCTATTATCGGAGCCATCCCATGTTACATGGTCCCGCGCTGCCAGCATCTGGGTTCTCGATATTCTGTGGCTGCGATCATGGTCTTTGTGGCTCAGCTCGCACCTCCTGCACCTTCTATCTCAACTGCCCCTTCCCTGCCCGGGCTTTTGCTTCCGCCTGTCACTGCCGCAGCTTCTGAAGCGCTATGGGGACAGGGTGCACGTGTCCATTCTGGTAAGTGCTCGCTGCGGGGTGGGGAGCCCCAGCCTGTTGCACTGCTTGGGTGATTCCCGGACCAGCTAGTGTCTCTCGCCTTCTCCCTTTTCCACACACCTCCCGGCCCTCCCCATCTGGGTTCTTTCTTTCTCTTCTTCTTATCATCATCATCATCATCATCATCATCATCATCATCATCATCATCATCATCATCATCATCATCATCATCATCATCATCATCATCATCATCATCATCATCATCATCATCATCATCACCATCACCATCATCATCATCACATCATCACATCATCATCACATCATCATCATCATCATCATCATCATCATCATCATCACATCATTAAAACAGCTTCTCAATGCAATTCTATGTACCCTGTCACGTCCTGTTGACCAAGTCCACAGTGCTCCCTTCTTGAGCTGCTTGCTGCCGCGCGCTCTGTCCGTTTCCCACCGCCATTCCCCCCCTCCTTCAGGACCGACTACCCACTCCATTCGGTTTGGTTCGCTCGGGAGTGGCTCCTGACCATCAGGATACCAAAGTAGGGAGGGAGGGAAGGAGGGTGGGAGGGAGGGGATGTCTTCGGTTTAGGGGTTCCTACCCGGGCTTTTGGGGGAGAGAGGTCAGTGTGTGCGCGCGTGTGTGTGTGTGTGTGTGTATGCGTGGTCTCGCTCTCTCTCTCCCCCCCCACACACACACACAACCTACCCTGAGGAGCTAAAGAGTAAGGCGGGCCACACACGCGCCGCTGGGCATGGTTCCTACACTCCTACAGCTCCCCCTGCTTCTGCTACCCGCAATGTGCCACCTCTATCTCCCTTTCGCTCTGTCGTCTTTTCGTTCCCGACCCGACCCGACCCGACCTGACCCGACCCGACCGGGACCCACCTGACACATCGCTCCGCACCGTACAATCTTCTCCTCAGAACGTCACCAACCAGTTTAGTTCCCTGGCTACCGACCCACGGGTCAGTTTCCTGGGCAACGTGCTGGTGGGCAGGGACGTGGACATCAGCGAGCTCAGGGCGCTACACCACGCGGTGAGTCACGGGGAGGGAATGAGGACCACGTGCGTGTTGGTTTTTGAGTTTCGAATGACCTGAGCCACGGGCAGGAAGGGCGAGGGTTGTATGTGCGCGTACCACCCGAGCGACGGAGGGGGAGGGTTGTGATGTAGTTTGCGCTCCCCTCATTCTTACTGGTTTCCGTACACGTCCTGCTTGCCGTACAGGTGGTCCTGGCATACGGCGCGGAGAGCGACCGTCGCCTGGGCATCCCTGGAGAGGACGACCCCACCACTTCCACCAGCGCCTTGAGGTGGTCGCGGGGCGGGGGTGGTGTGTTTTCGGCACGCGAGTTCGTGTGGTGGTACAACGGGCACCCGGATGCGCGGCACCTCCCCATCGACCTGTCCAAGGTGACCATGGGTCAGGGGGCTTCTCTCGACATGGGGACATCTTCAGGTCGTCTGCGTTTAATTGCATGATGGTGTTCCATAAGACTACCAAAGGTTTTCTTCTAAGGACTTCTTGAAAACAACATGCCGTACTGTACGACAAAACCCATTCAAAACCCGTTCGCCTCGGTTTCCCCGTCCCCCCGCGCCCCGTCCCTTCTACCAGATTAAATCCTTGACCCCGCCATGGGTCCCCTTCCTCTCCCTGCCTTCTTCCGCGCCTCGCCACCCAACTCGATATCCAGGTTCGGTCGGTAGCTATTTGCGGTATTGGCAATGTGGCTCTGGATTGTGCGCGAGTGCTGCTGTCACCTCCCGACCGCTTCACCCCCACCGACTTGGCGGCTCATGCGCTGAGTCAGCTGCAGGGGCACCCGGGAGGGGGAGGGGGAGGGGCAGTCCAGGGAGGACAGTCCGGCAGTCCCCTTGGCAGTGCAGTGCGGGAGGTGCACTTGGTTGCCAGGAGGGGCCCAGTGCAGGTGAGCCTGGGGTGGCTGGGTGGGTGGGAGATTACAAGGTTGTCGAATGCAATGTCGAATTTTCTATTGTAACAACTGTTAGAAGGCATTTTTAGTAGGCATTTTTAATAGGCATTTTTAGCAGGGATTTTTAATAGGCATTTTATACTTTATGCCAAGGTATGTCTTCTTGAACCCCACGTCATGTCATGTTATGAACCTCGGAGGCCGCCTGCACGCCCAAGGAGCTAAAGGAACTGCTCACGGAGTGCGGCGTGTCGGCCCGTACGGCAGCCCCCGATCAGTTGACGGTTTCGGAGGCGGACGCGGCGGAGATGAAGGCGACACGCCTTAAACGACGCGTGTACGAACTGGTATCCAAGGCTGTAGCTGAGGCGGACACGGCGAGTGCGGCATCAGCGGTGGATCATCATCAGCAGCAGCAGCAGCAGCAGCAGGGGCGCTCTCGTCGAGATTTATTTTTTCAGTTTTACCGCAACCCCGTGGAGGTCTTGCGGGGGCCTGATGGCGGAGTGGCGGGTAAGTGGCGGGGAGTACGCGGGGTCACGTAGGGTTGTCATGTAGGGGTCATCTTGGTTTCCTCCCGTCCTCTCTCTTGACAGCTGCTTTCCTCCTTCCTAGGGTTCGCTCCTCGTGACCTTTCCCGGTTTGGTCCTCAACAGACATGAATGGGGCCCTTTCCCTTCACCTTCACCTTCCCCTGTTTTATCGCTTCTCAACATTCGTTCGGCCGCGCTGCGCTGCACACTTGTCGACCAACCCCGACCTGCGGCGTCTTCAGGTATCAGGGTGGAGCGCACTGTCGTACGGCCCGACGGCCCTGGCGGCACCGCCGTGGCAGTTGGCAGCGGCGTGTACGACACCATCGAATGTCAGTTGGTACTTAAGAGTATCGGATACAAATCCCTGCCATTGCACGTGAGTTTCGAGAGCAATACTGCTGCTGCTGCTGCTGTTAATGATGGTGTTGATGCTTATGTGGACCCCTTCCGGGATTCATTCGTACATGTGTGGTTAGGTGTATACGTGGCTGTCCAGATTTAGGGAGGGGAACATCGCTGGCGTCAGGCTGCGGTGCTTGTATGTATGTATGATGTGTGAAACAGGGGGGTGAATCTTCGCCCGTGGCAGCTACCCTTCGAAACCCTGCCTTCCCCGGTATTTCGGGGCACCCTCATCCAGTCACCCTAGTCAACTTCTCAGTGGATTGCTCAGGTTCCGCACCCACCACCAGCATCCAACGGAATCTGCCGGGTCGACGGCGGCGCAACGCCATTCCTGGTCGGCGCGCAGGTTAAATTTATCCCAGGTCACCACCGTCCATCAATCCCTTCCACCATCGGAAGCACTTCTGACCCTAATGGGTATCGATCCCGGGATCTCCCGAGGGCAATGGTCGCGCCTTACCAGTAGTGCAAAACCCTAGTATGTATGTTGTTACAGGGTGGTTAACTTCGCCAGCGGCCCCCTTTCCCGGGGCAGTCCCTGCTCTCCCCTGCTAGAGGGGCACCCTAATCCGTCACCCCATCCGACTTCAGAATGTATTCGTTGAGTTCGGCAACTCACCACCAGCATCCAACCAAATCTAGCGGATCAACGGCGCATCAACTTAGTTCCTGGTCAGCTCGCAAGTTGATATTATCACGTCCTACACCGTCCATAAGATGGGGGGCCACCTCCCATTTCATCACTCCTCAAACACCCGAGGAGCCGGCAGGCGGATTTGAACCCGGGTCGACTGGGTCAACTGGGAGCAGAAGTCAGGCCTTAACCTCTGCCAGCCGCCTGCCTAGTATGTATGTATGCATGCATGCCGATCAGTGCTAGTCCGCGCTTTTCCCAGATCGTCCATGGTTTATCCTCAGCTCCTGTACCCCGCTGGCTCCTGCTCAGCGCTGTCCAAGGCACCCGGGAAGCGGGAGGTCTACGCCACGTGCTGCTGGGGCACAAAACGTTTAGGATATCCGCACAACACACATGCCCATTACCGCTCACGCGTCCTGAATTATTCGGTAACAATGCCTTCCGCGATGGTTCGCCCACTTGGTGTCCTAACGCCTTCCCCCCTCGCCCTGCTGCTGCTCAGGGAGTTGCATTCGACAACCGCCGGGGGGTGATACCCAACTTAGAGGGGCGTGTGCTGAAACAGGTGCGTGCGTGCGTGTCTACCTGTGTGTCTTGTCTGTATCTATTTGTCTGTCTGTCTTGTCTGTACCTATTTGTCTGTCTGTCTTGTCTGTATCTATTTGTCTGTCTGTCTTGTCTGTATCTATTTGTCTGTCTGTCTTGTCTGTATCTATTTGTCTGTCTGTCTTGTCTGTATCTATTTGCCTGTCTGTCTGTCTTGTCTGTCTGTATCTACTGCCTGTCTGTCTGTCTGTCTGTGCACGTGTGAATGGTGCAGTGCAGTGCGTTTACACGCCAGGGATGCTTGTTGCGGTTTCTGTCGGCGGGCTGACTTTCACAGCCTGCAGGCTGTCGTTGTCGTGGTCGTTGTCGTTGAAGCTGGTCGTAGGGTCACCGCAGGGGTTGGGAGGGTCGGCGGTGTGGGCTGTCGGCTGCTCTCCTTTCCGCCCGCTGTCCTCCGCGCCATTCGACTACTGTACGGCCTAGGAGCTCAAATCCGATTCCAACTCAGGCCCCACATGGCTTCTCCGCTACAGCTACTGGGGTGCTACAAAAGACAACACGCATAATACTAGACGGTGCCTTGTCCCGGCTAGACACGCCCAATGGGCCGCCATTAAGACAGAGCTGTGCCTTTCCCCCCATGCGCTGCCTCTCAGGCTGACGCCAGCGCACCCGCCAGCGGCACTGCCGCCGCTGCCGCCAAGGACGAGGGGCTGTATGTGGTGGGTTGGTTGAAGCGCGGTCCCACTGGCATCATCGGGACGAACCTCGTGGACGCGGAGGAGACGGTAGCCTGTGTGGCGGCGGATACGGACGCGTTGTTGCGGGCCGGAGAGAAGACCCATGGGTCGGCTGGGCCACCTGGTTTGGCGGGTTTGACGGCGCTGCTGCGGCAGCGTGGCGTGCGTGTGGTGGACTGGCGGCGATGGCGGCTGTTGGACGAGCATGAGGTGGCAGCGGGCCGCGCGGCTGGGCGGGTGCGGGAAAAGGAGACGGAAGTGAAGGAGATGCTACGTGTGTGTGGATTTTCCATGGAGTAGCGCGAATGGACGGTAGGGTCAGCATGCTGCTGTGTGTACAGCAAGTGGTGAAGAGGAAGGTTACGTGGTGTTCTTTCTTTTGTCACTTAGCAGGTTTATGTTGTTTTTCATTTGACCTGAATTCACCTTGTAAGGATGAGGATGTAGGGGTTCACGCCACCACGCTGGCCAGATGGTGGTTCGAGCCGATTTGTGTACGGTGAGACAAATCGTAAAGATCAATGGGGCTTCGGGGTATAGCACGGTTCCGGCTATAGCGTCACGGCAGAGGTGCCGTCCTGGTAGTTGGGCATCGTTATGGGGGCCTTGTAACGTTATACACCATCCGCTATGGCTAATGGCGCGACGCGACGGTTTCATGTTAGTGCTTAGTGGCCCCTATCAGGACCTGGCCGCTTGCGGGGCGACCGAAGGTATAATAAAATATGGGACTGTGCTCAGGTATTGAGGACGTAAGAACGCTGGGTGTGGTGTCAGCAGGAAAGGTGGTTACCCTTTCCACCGTCCAAGGACCTTCCTTGGCGGCGGTGTGAATTGACTGGCCGGATGCTTGTACAAAAGCATCTCTTATCTGTACGCGCGCAAATCCTGAATATGAATATGAATATCGAGCGTGGGCGTCTTACCCTGGTCACGATGTAGCTCTTCTTTCCCATTAAGATTAACGTACCAGTGCATAGAGCTCATGTCCATACATATAAGACTCCTGAAAATGCAAGCGTAAATTGAGGACACAACTGCTTATCAAAACTTATCGGGAGAGGCCCAACGTCGGACAGCACAACTGATTTCCTAAAGGACTGATTTTCCCGGAGGAAAACGAAGCAGGATATACTATCTATAACACGTCCTCAAACGGACTATCGTTCCTCCGTAAATTTGTGGCTGCCGGTGCATTGCAGTGCATTTGCGAGAGGACCGGAGGAAGGTGGGAAACGCCCGAAAATAGGATATACACATGTAGCACGCGACCTTAGCATGTCCAGATGTAACCTAGTTGAATGTAAGGCCTGTGAGGACACACGGACTTGAATCTTCCGCCTGCCTCGTCCCTAGGGCTTCCCACCTGGGGACATTGTGCCCTCCGGACCGCCATGCCGGGGAAGTCACGAAAGAAACATGCATACGACACGCTGCAGCCTATTCATGCCCAGGAAACTTTCAAGAATTCCAAACGTGCGCTGGTGCTATACGCCCGAAACACTGTCATAGACGCCAGGCCGCAAACCACCTCAGCGGCTTCCTCACACTGCCGCCTTGCAAGTGCACAATGCCCACCACTAATTAAGGCAACCGTGATGCGCACAGAACGACTCAGCAACTACCCCACTCGCTCTCCAAGCCACAGTCAATGCACCATCGTTCAAGACGCGACTTCCTCCCCCTTTTTGCAACATAATCTTGGAGCACACAGTTACGCACACTCATTGGAAGGGATGCCTTCGCCAAGGCCACACCAGCTCTCCATCCCAGCTCGCGCACATGCTGATAGGGAATAATCCGGACATGGCCACAGAGCTAACCGACGTCGCCTTACGTCGCCAACATACTCTCAAGCTGCACACACATCCATATTTATCAATGCATGGTGACATGGTAACCGCGAATCGGTAAAAAGGATCTGCACGAATATAAGAACCCTCTTCCACGTCGTTCGTCAACTCCACGCCGCAACTCTCCACTCCGCTCACCCTCCCCTCACCAGTGTTTGATTATGCAACACAACACACCAACAAACTCTCAAGAGGCACTCTGGGACCCCAACACACAGATTTATTCTACATACCACACATCAATGTGGACGGCACCTTTCCACATCACCTTCGGACGGTGCACACAAAGGAACATTTCTCGACCAATGAAGCAAACAATCCGATTCAACAACCCTACAAACACAGAAATGGAACACACGAATACAGCATATGTTCAGATGGCGCATCACCTGCAGTCAACAGGATTCCCCTTCGCCCCATGGCTAAAGGCATGAGGACACGCATGTAAAACCCCAATTACCTGCCCTCACCAAGACCGACAGCAACCCAAATCAGCCTGGGACTCTATGGAAAGGGACCCCGAGGGGCAAACGGTAACAGGAGGCAGAGGGCCGTCAAGGACGTGCGCGCAACAAACGCTGCCCGAGCACCCCGGGTCCGCCTACAGCCCCAAACACCCGGGGCATCAACATGGGAAATGCGGGCGAAGTACGCGCCCCCCGAGGCATCAAAACGTAATACACGCCGTTGGTCGCTTGGAAAGCCACATCAGACGCAGTTCTTATGTCGCTATCCGTCCTCCTTGAACCATACATGCAAGCCGCATCGATCAGACACCCTTACAGGTGGCGGACCACACCCCGCTACGCACCAAAACGGCCCAAATAATGACTATACGCACCCGCACTCTTACCAAAAGCATTCCATAACACCCGCGCATGCATCTAAATGATAACCATGAGCCGCCGCCACAGCAGTTTCACAATTCAGCACACATCCTTAAACCGATATGACACACCACCGCAACCGGCATTTTCAATAACGGGCATGCAGCGCTGCACCAGCTTTGCAATGTGTACATGAAAATTTACTGAATTCGGCATGACGACCCCAAAAAAGAAACTAAGCTCGTGCACAATACGTCGCTCAAAAACCGTGCTGCAGTTCATACTGGCCGCGAAGACGCGGTACAAGCGACCGCAGTACAGCTGGTCCAGGGCTAATACCGCTGCAGCCGGTTGCCATGTCGCCGCGGTCGCTGCGTCTCTTCCTTCTCCTCCTCGTCGGAATCATCGTCAGGCTCCCCTTCCTCATTTCGTGCCGACTGTTCCTGACTGCGACTGGAGTCGTTCCGGTGTGGGTTGTTACCCGGCCGATCACCGTCAGGCTGCATGCCCCCGTTGCCACCACTCCCACCGCCATTCCCTGCGCGCAACGAGCGAGAGCAGCAAGAACACAATTATGCAAACAAAATGGTCTTTATTCACACCTGGCCCTTTCACATGTTTGCGTTTTGTCACTTCCATGGCGCAACGTATCGGTATGCTTATTACAGGTTTGCGCTCAAAATACACGTTTTGCATGCCTTTTCCTTGACCGCCAATGCGTTGAGGTGACGATTTGAGTTTGCACGTATTTGCCTCAAAACAACCAAAGAAATTAACCACGGCCTGTGGACAAAGTGTGGTGTAGAAACATTTGGTCGGCTTGGTCCCCCCCTTACTCATCCAATACCAATGCTGTCACTGCCCTGGACACAGTAAGGAGTTTTACTAAGCCTTAACGTAAACACACGTACACCAAATATGCATCCGCTGCTCTTCAATATAAAGATCAAAATGAACAAGGTGGACACGAAACGACTCCCCTGTAAGTCAGGGAATGGGCCACCCTCTCGCGGCGGGCAGGAAGGTAAGCGGACAGGAGAGAAGACAATCAGACAGAGAACTGTGAACGGCCCAGAGTTTATTGGCGGGCTGCTGCTGCTGTGTCCTTCTATAATCAGGCAAACGCGCCTGACAGTGTCTAGTAGCAAGACAGTGTCGAGCAGGAGGGCCAAGGCCCCATGTTATCCGCGATGGCGTGCATGGCAGGGTATCCAGCGCCATGCCACACGCTGCACCCCGTTTTTGGACGCTTAGCCTCAGGTTAAATGCGTGTGGTTTTCAGCACTCAAGCGCACGCGGGAGGCAAAAAGGATGCAGGTACCGAGCGAGGTTGTTGCCGCTACCATAGCGGGCCTTGCAAGCTCACCTCCGCCACCTCCACCACCGCCGCCGCCACCACCACCGCCGCCGCCAGGAAAGTTGTCACCGCCATACGACGTGAGGAAGAAGTAGAGCCCCAGAACGAAGAGGTTCGGTGCTACGTTACGAGCTGTCCGTTCCCAACCCCAGCCGTCGCCTCCGCCACCGCCGCCACCACCACCCTGCATTGGTTCAAGAAGGGCTGCATGTATCGGTTCTCTTGCGTGCCGCAGAAATAGGATAACGTGAAAGCCTTAGCCGCAGCCCCCAAAGGCGCAAGCCCCTCAATCGAAGCGAGCACCCACGTTACTGTCTATGGGAGGCAGGTTCGGTGGGCCACTAAGACGTCTTTTTGTTGCTGTGTTGCCCGACTGCGCCTGACCCGCGACGATGGTGAGGCGTCGACGTGGAGCTGGAATCTGCACAGATGCAGAGACGGGAAGGAATTAAACTGAAAAGTGGATGCCAGGTGCCAAACATAATGGAAAGTTAAAGCCTGCACAGTTTAAAACCGCGCCGAGCCAACGCCCAAAAAACTGGCCCATATGTTGTTCACCTGTGCCAATGGCGCAGCACGACTTCTTCGTTGCACGAAAGCATTGCAAGTTCGACACCTTAACGCCGCCATAGCTGTCTCCGCTGGCAAACAGTCAAGCCTTCCCACTTTTTCAAAACAAACTATCTTAAAAACAGGTGAAGGCTGTGATTGCAAATGATCTAACGAAATCGCATAAGGAAAGCAGGTGCAATATTGTATTCATAACTGGCTGGTTTTTTTCTCCCCCTTCCAGAATTTCCAAGCTGGTCGTGTACGGGAATGACGTTAGTGGAGGCAAACGACACGGCGAGATTTGGTGCTGATTACTGCACCCAGATGTGCTGCATACATTTATGCTATTTGTTTGCTCTCAGTATCGATGTATGGTGCCGACCATCAGCCTGATTTACTTCACCCGCCGCCATGCTCCCGACTCTTCCGTGGTACCAGTCGCGTAACGGTCTTGTGCGAAAGGACTTGCGGAATTCCATAATCCCACGGGGCAAATCCTCAACTAGGGTAGACTCGGGGCAAATCCTTAACTAGGTGATAATGCGCAAGCACATAGGAACTGCTTCTACTTGACTGCAAGTCATGAGCGCCAGCAGCCGTAACTAAGGGGTAAGCATCTCGTGCATCAGATATTTTTTTCAGATGCTTTCAGGTGCTAGCTTGTACAGAATCATGTGCAAGTAGTCAGTGAGGATCTGGCTGGACAGCTGTCCCAGTGGGATGCTGTTTGATGGCCTAAATTGGCTTGTCTGTAAAAAGTGAACATATAGGAATTTTAGGGTTTTAGGGTAAGGTGTTTGAATCTTGTTGCCTTGGTCAATTCACAGGGGTACATGGAGAATGGGGGAACATATTCACTTTAGGGGCAATTGTGCTGTATGTGCTCATGCAAGTCCTACCATTAACACTTTCAGAGTGCTTCAAGGTGATTTTGTCCGACATTACTTTAGGCCCTTCGTGGCTGACGATAATGGTGAGGGTTCGATGGCTCCCTTTCAGAAGGCAGCAATTGCAGGCGGGGCAAACTTGCTTCAGTATGCCTCCACTATTGAGCAGCTGGGCTTCCCAAACTTGCTCCATGTTCATCACCCTGAACCTGCATACATCGGCCAGTAAGCATTTGGACCCCCTTTGGACGCTAGTCTGGGCTGATGTGCGGTGTTTTCCTTTCCTCCGTGGCTTTTAGGCGTTGTAGTATTGCCCTTGGGCCTTCAGCTCGTATGGGTAGTCTTACAGGTATGGGGTCACGCACCCCCAACCATGTAACACACACACACAGATGCTGATGTCATGGTGGAGAGGCAGATGCATGTCGCCAAGTCAGCCACGGGCAGGGGTGTCAGCCGCTTCCCAGGCAAGCACGTCACAGTACGGGAGTGCATCCAGTATGCTTAGCAAAATGTAAAAGAAGGGGCAGATGCTGCTGGTGTCTAACTGAGGTCACTTCAGCAGTTCTTCATGTTTTTCTGCCAGGCTGATCTCCTGCGTCCCAAATGCCAACCCCAGTCCGCGCTTGATGATCATACACACTTGATGGGCAGTTCTGTCCCACTACAGAAGAACCCCTTGTTAGCTCAGGAGGTCAAGGCTGGTGGCTTTTGAACACCTTTTTACTGATGTGTGCATGTGGGGTTCCTGGATGAGGTACGGCATGCATTCAAGTGCAGTATCTGTGCTGAACAAGCCATTTTGAAGCATTCATGTCAAGTAATATAGACAAAGTTTCTTTCATGGATCCGTATGGCACAGTTTGGGGAAGGATCTAGAGTAGGCAGCAGAAGGCAGTCCGCCAGTGCGGAGATGTCATCGTATGAAATCTATTTTGCCACACGTGTAGCAATCTGTTGCGCCATCAGTTATTTTTTCAATTCTCCCTGCCATGACTACATGCAACTAACACCGTACAACGGCCAACGTCCATGACGTCCACTATGCGTTTGCATGGCACTTATCACGGCTGGCAGAAATTTACGCAGGTGCAGTTCCTGTTCCGAACTATAGCTGAAGCCGACGAACTATAACATCATGGCTCGGCTACTAAACACTGACACTGTCATTTAAGGTACAGATGGGAATACAGATGACATGGCAACCTTCTGGCATGTTTGTGCTATTTAAAAGTTTTGTAGGAAATTAGATTCATTCGCTGCTAGCCAGACCTGAATGTCGGCGGCCACATCTGGAGCTTGTACTCAATGCCATCGCGCTGGGCAGCTCCGCCCCATAGGGAAGGCATCGTTATCCCAGGCAGCTAATTTCCGGCGCCTTTGGGGCCCGGTGCCGCCGACTTTGGCGCCCGGCCCCTCGACTTCACGGACTTCAGGAGCAGTCCGTGGTTTGACAGTGGTCCATGCCCGACGGAAATGGTACGCCATTTTTGAGCCTGCTGCTGCACGTGGAGTCTACAGGCTCTGGGAGCATGTGAAGCACTTCGTCACGGGCCAGGCGAATGCTGTCCATAAGGGGTTCCCGAGCGAGGCCGCAGCGCTGGAATGGATATCACAGCTAACACTACGTTACCAAGAGGAGGTAAGGTACTGCAATATGCTGTATGTTTATATGCATCCGTGCACATGTGCGCCTATCCCCGCAATCTTGACTCCCATCCCTGCAGTCCCTGCAGAAGTACATGCGCATTTCCGCATGCTGCCACCTTTATAAACTGGTTACTTTGCCTTGGCCTTGCCGCGGACTCGACTCAATCCTTCAATCCCTTAATCTCTGCAGGAGCACGCTCTCGAGCAGCTGCGCCAAACGATCCTTGGACCGGGCCACCGTGTTGGTCAGCCTGCGCCAATGTCTCCCATTCCCGGCCATCACTTCAGCGTCTCCAGGTCGTCCCGCCCGAGCCTCGGCGCATCCGCTGGCGGCGATACCGCAGGTCCCGCAGCCGCCTCTGCTACGCTCGCATCCGCAAACCCTCGCCCCTGGCAGACGCCGCCCATTGTGTTGCCGGTACCCGCGGCCCCCTCCCGGGAGTACTACCGCAAGTGGTATGCCGTTAGGTTTGTGGATGGCGGCAGCCCCGCGGTCTACAACACTTGGCAGGTGGGCGCGAGGTGGGCGTGTGAGCTAGGCCCGAGTAGGATGGAGAACACGCCACGACTGTGACAACGACAGAATGAACAGCGGGCTTGTACAGCCCACGTCCGCAGGCGGTCAAGGCTTCTGCGGGCAGGGCTCGCACACCAAGGATTGCACTTTTTGCTGACGCTTTGATGCATGCCCTGATTTCTCAACTGCGTTCACACATTGTATAGCCATGGTCATCATTTCATGGTTGCTCCATGACGGGGTTCCCTCACCATGCGCCTCTGTCTTGATGTGCCGTGCCGTGCACACTGCGCATGGCATGCGCCGCGTGTGTCATTCCATGACATACTGGACAGTTTTCCTCAGGAAGGGCACGAGCATGCGTGTGGTGTGCCTGCCATGACGGGGCGGCCTGTTGCGTGGCGCCCGGACCGCTGTCACACCGCATATCGTAGCAGCGTGATGTGTGACCCAGATGCCCAGCATGATGATGTGGCGTGTTTCCTGTCCTGGCATGTGAGCTTCTGAGTGGCTTCTGTTGCGCCTTCTCACTCACGATGGCATCTGCTGAGTACCAATGGGTTCGTTGTGGCTTCAGGAGACGGAGGCGGCTATCAGTGGGCGTTACGCGGAGCACAGGTCATTTGAGTGAGTTGGGTGAGGGGGGGGACATGATAGGAGGGTGAGGGGATATCGCAACGGTGGACGATCGGAAAGTGGGTGGCCCATGGGTCTCTGACCTACTTCTCCACGCGCTATGTGTCGAGGGCGTATATCTGCAAGAAGCTGGGAAGGGACCCGCCCGAGAAGAAGCCTGGCATTTGTTATTCTGGTGTCGAAGTGTGGGGATCATTCCCGTGCCATTCCTGTGCCGCCCTCCCCCCTCCGCACAAACGGGTTATGGGTGGGGCCCCTAGCTAGGGGGGCACTGCTGCTAGTGAAAAAGTCGCCTAGACAGATGTGTGGAGGCCTGGGGAAGGAGTGACCCAAGGGTCTGTCCGGGGCTGATGGTCGCTGATGATCCCATGCAATCCGACGTCCCCACAGCTCCCGGTTGGAGGCTCTGCTGTACGCTTTCGGGCCCACGTACGTTGACCAGCTACTGCAGGACGAGCAGTTGCTGCAGCAGCTACAGCCGGACTGCCAGGCCCAGTCTGTGGCCGATGCAGCAGCGTCGGGCTATTGCGCATCACCGTGCGGTGTCTCGAACGAGGCCAATGAAACCGCCGTGACCTCCCAGCGCGGGCTGTTGACTAATAAGCCGTATCAACCGCACGAGTATGGGGAAACGTACGGCGAGCAGTCTTCATATTCTCATGTCGAACATGGTCATCACGGTCTTCATGGGCAATCAGCAGTCGGTGACAATGAGGATGTGGAGACCGTCGACGTGCACAGGGGCGCCCCAGATATCTGGAGCTTTGCAGATATGGCAGCGGCGGTCGTGTCACGGATCCAAGGCGTCCCAGCCAGCTTGACAAACCTCCGTACGACTGCCTTGGCGTCGTACGATGCTGCCGCGTCGCGGCCGATGCCGGTGAGCCCAGGCGGCGGCTTGGCGGCTTGTTCGGATCAACGGCCGCCGGAAGTCCCGTCGGCCGCCAGCCTTGGCTGGCGGCTGCCGGCACCTACAGCCGTGACTGCACCGTTGTCGTACGTTGTGCCGTACGGGAGCCCTGCGCCAGCGATGGTGCTTACCGCTGCTGCCGTTGTACCGGCGCGCACGCCTTGCCGAGGTCACTCCGCCAGCAGTCCACTAGATCACCGGCTTCAACACTCCAGCAAACAGCAGCGGCAGCAAAAGCACCTCGCTGCCCCTGGCGAATTACAGCTGGAGGTGGAAGAAGCGCGGCCGCTACCTGCGCCCTACACTTGCGTCCCTGCCCGTTACTCTCTGTCGGCTGCCGCATCCACGACCCCGCCAACCACCACCTGGCCCCCTCAAGACGGGCTATTAGCAGCAGGAGCGAGCGGGAGGAGCGTGTACTCCTCCTGCGACCCAGAAGGTCCTTGTAGTGCCAACAGCACCCCGGGTGGCAGCCTTGGCAGCGGCCGCTCGGAGGGGACGTCGTCATCCTGTCGCCTTGAACCGCGTGTGCATTTTCCCTCATCACCATCATCATCATCATGCGGCGGAGCGCCCTCAATGTCTTGGCCACCTGCCGCTGCTCTCGGTTACGACGACAGAGGTGCAAACGATTCAGTCGAGGTTGAGCAGCCGGGACCCACGGATGCAGTAGACGTGGATTCGGGTTCAGATTTGGATTCAGGCGGCCAGCGAGTTCCAAATCTGTTGTTGGAACCTGCTGCAGATCACACTCGGCGGCCTCCTCTTGCTTTAGCAAATAGCCCGGGATCCGCCTTGACAGCGCAGGCCCTGTACGCGCATGCACTGAGGCATGTGCGGGCAGCGGGGACGGTATCGGCGTCCCCGGTGTCGCTGTCGCCGCAGCTGCTGCCACAGCAGCAGCAGGCGGACGGCAGTACGGCGGCGCCGACCCGGCGGCGGCGAGGACGGCCGCGTAAGGTGGTGACGGCGACGATGGCGGCGGCGGCAGCTGCAGCGATTTCCCTTGTGGTAAGCACTCCTCCCTGTGCCGTACCAGAGACCAGTGGCGAGGGGCCGGCGAAGGTGGAGGCGGAGACGGGGTCGGTGCCACCGGTAAAGCGCGGGCGAGGGCGACCACCCAAGAAAGCAACGGCTGCTGGTGGTAGCGTTGAAGCACCGGCGCAAGCGCCAGTGGTGGCGCCCAAGCGGCCGCGGGGTCGGCCACGTAAGACGACAGCTGCTAGCGTGTAGACACGGGTGGGGAGTTGGCAATCCAGGGTTCCCCCGCATGGCGGCTGTGTCATAAGGGGTGATGTGAGGCTGATGGGAGATGGTGAAGGAAGGGACCGGCTTGCGGGAACAAACTTGATCAGAAACGCGCCCGGCGAGGAAGACGTGCTTCCCGTCCAAGAGAGAGAGAGAGAGAGTGTGTGTGTGTGTGTGAGGGGGGGGAGCCATGGTGCTTCCTGAGGTTGTAGCGAATCTTCTCACCAGCTGTCGGGGTTTCGTTTGGTGGGGCGCTTCAGTCGTGCCTTCCGGTCACAGCCATGAACGAGAGCAAGAGCAGGACACGTGATAGCATCTTAGAGGAGTTAAGAGGAGGAGAATCTTTTCCCTGTGTCAGGAAAATGTATGGCATAGGACAAGAAGTGAATCGCCAGCGTAGCGCCTTAAAAACAAGGACGATTCATGCAGTCTCGCCGGAAGCTCGTTGGCCTTTCCAGGCAAACAACAAAACAAAGGAGAGGCTCAAGGTAGCTACATGTTTGCGATATCGGCTCATGCGATCTTACTTACTGGAGTGGGTTTTGGCAGAGGGCTTTTCAAGCTATGCGAGGAGGGGGAGAAAGAGGAGCGGCAGGGGAGGTTTTGACCAGAGCTGTGGCGTCGACCAGAGTTTTTTTGCCTCGCACACCTCGGTGACGACGGCTCGCGACAGATATGATGCACATGGGTACACGGGGAGGACAGGTGAATATGTTTGCGTACTGAAGGACGTCTGTTCCGCTGGGAAAACTTACTTGACGCGGACTAACTATCCACAGCTATCAGAAGGGGGTTACTGTCGGTTTGTGAGGTTAGGCTGTATTTGCGTGACGCACACGTTTCCTGCAGTCTCTTGCGCGTATTATGAGGGCGGAATGGAGCAAACAGGCATGATATGCGAGCGCGGAAACGTATGGCGGTTCCCGTAGCACATTAAAAGTGCAGAGCAGCTTAGGGCACCACAGGGTTTTGGATCCGTGATGGAGGCAGCACTATTGCACGTCGGTGCATAAATGTATTCAACCTTCTGGGTGGTCAAACAACTTTGCCGTTTCCTTTCTTGCCTTGGACAGGCAGCCAAGCATTGGCGGTGGTTATGTGCCTTATTTTCTATATCCTTTCTTTCTTTTAGGCGCCCTCTTAGCTCTTAGCATCACAGCGATTTTGATTTTCTCACTCTCTTTTACTGGCGACAGGACGGACGTATGCCTTGATTGCTTTGATCCCCATACTGCCGCTCGGGCAAGCGTCATGCAGGATGTGCAATAGCCTGGCAGTTGGTTTTAAATACATAGATCTTGTTCCCTTGTAAAAGATGCCAGCCAAGTATTTGGTGGCAAGCCAAGCCTTATCACCTTCATATTAGTCGACCAAGGGGTACATGATGATGTTGAGGAGGGGGGTGGCCATGACAAAGGTGGGCCGTAGAGGACGAGGTGGGCCAACAGCGCGCAGACGCAACTTTCCATATACCGTGCAAATCACTATGTAAGATTGAAATGAATCCCCTTATTTCCCTTATTATTCATTGCCGCCCCCTGCCACAAATTGCCAGTCACTTTCGCGAGCATTGACGCTTCGATACATGGAGAGGAACGCTTTGCACTGCATCTTCTTTCAGTTTGTGTCATCATGCCCCACACCGTACCCGGCGCGCCGTCCAATCTTTGGCTTATTCTCTCGCTAGATCCTATGGCGCCACGTAAGAAGTGAAGGTGAGGAGCGGTTACGTCGCCTCACAGGCAGCCAAGGAGCACACACGCGTCATCCAACTAGCCTTTCTTTTATCCCCCTCTCCCCAACCCCCCTTAAGCACAACCAGGTCTCCAGGGTAACACTCCCCCGGCTATACTGTCCTGCATGACCCCCCTCTTCCGTCCCCCCTCTCTTACCCTCCAGACCATCACCGCTGTCGCCACTCACTCCTGCTGCTGCTGCTGCTGCTGCTGCTACCACTTGAGCACGCTAGCTAATGCATGCAGCTACTATGAATGCACTGAGGAGTTGTCCTTTCGCGTCCCAGGTTATCCCAACTTGAGACAAGGTAGGCCGATAGGAAGGCGCAAATTAGGTGATTAGATTAATAACGCGTGTAAAAGCGACGTGTATAGGAGCGACAGGATGACGTCTCAGGATGAGGAGGCGGACACGGACACCGTCCCTGCGGCCCTCCCCTCCTCCCCAGGGGCTTCTAGGTGCCCGATGATTGCAGCCGAGGTAAATCCAGCTGCCCGCACCTTGGCGAGCACTTCCCCCTCGGCACCCGACTCCACCGCCAACAACAGACCGCCGCTGGTCTGGGGGTCAACCAGCAGGTCTCGGAGCCAGGGCTGTGGGGTGGAACACACATAGAATAAATTGCAGACACACACACACACACACACACACACGCACACGCAATGATGGGGGTTTCCAGCTTACGGTAAGAGGAGAACCGGTTGCGGAGGAGGAAAGGAGGTCAAACAAAAAAATTAAAACCTCTGGCTCTCTCTCTCTCTGAAAATGAGAGCCGCGGGACCGGCGGTAGAGAAACGCAGTCAGCCTGTCACTGCGAATAGAGGCGAGATTAGGAAACCATCTTTGAGAAGGCAATCGGTGGACGCGTTGTTAGTGCCAGACATGCTAGCCGAAAAAACAGAAAGCATTAGCGGTCCAGGTTGACCGGGCCGCGAAGCCGGGGGCAAGAAAAGTTGAATGAGGGTTAGCTGGGTTTCCTTTTCCCCAGCCAGCCAGCAGCCTGCTATCCAATCCACCCACCTCCACGCCGGGCCCCAAGCTGACGGACGCTCCGTAGCTGTCCCAGTTCCTTGCCACCGCCCCGGGCAGCACTCCACGTTCCGCCAGACCCCTGGCGGGGCCCATCAGGGGCACCGCCCCCGCCGCCACTCGGCCATGCAGCCCGCTGCCTCGGCACACCTCCAGCAGGTGACCCAGCAGACCAAAGCCTGAAAGGAGTGAAGGAAAGAGGGGCGCGAGAGGAGTGGAAATGGCCTGGGGGGAGGGGGGATGCTGTGTTTGCCAATACATGCGGGAAGGCACGCGCAAATGGCACCAAGTATCAAAATCCGAACAGCCGAGCGATCAGCGAGGTCTCACTAAGGATTTGAAAAGAAATCCCGTATGTCTGTATGTGTGAAAACGTGTGTATGTGCGAGTGTGATATGGTGTTGGAAAACAGCAAAGTAATACACGGAGGTAATCCCCCAGGGAAAGGGGGGGAAAGACGAACCACGAACGAGTGAAGCTGCCGCCAGGGCAAGAGTGTACCGTAGAACTGACCAAGAGGCGTAAAGGGGGGGGGTACGGGCGGGGTGGAGTCTCCAACGGCGCCGCCGTGTTGTGCTACTGTGCTTGCGGAAAAACGGTGATGGGTGAGTAGAGATCATCAGCGGGAGCCGGGAGGCGTCCTTGTGGGGAATTGTGTTCACAGCCAGGATACAGCAATGATGTGCATGTATGTATGTACGTCCGTGCAGACGAGTGCGCGTGCGCATGCGTGTGGAGGGGTGCGCGCGTGTAACTGCTGGGTACGCGGGTGCCTGTAGGTGGATGAGCACCCCGTACTCTCCGCACGTCCGTACCTGTGACGTCCGTCATGGCATGGACCCGTGGGTCATCAGACAGCTCCGCACCCACGGTGTTGAGCTGAGTCATTGTCCCAATCACCTGGAGAAGAGGGAATGTGCGCGCGCGCGTGTGTGTGTGTGTGTGTGTGTGTGCATATGTGTATGTGAGAGCGGGGTTGTAATGCACGGAGCAGCAAAAGGTCAACTGTCGATACGTCCAAAGTGCGAGGGAAGGGGACGTCGCCGCAATACACACAACAATGTATGCACAGCAATTAACAGCATAGGAAGGTATGGTGGCGGGAGGAGGGGTAGCGTCCGGGGTGGAGTCCGGGCAGGCAGGCAGGCGGGCAGTAGCAACTCGGGGAATACGTGGAAGAGGAGGGGAACGTAGGCGCCGGGGATGTGTCTCAACTTCCCTATCGACTTTCCTGGCTGGGACGAGCAAAATTTTGGAAACACTGCCGCGCGGGTTTCTCAACGATGGGAGGCGGGATGTGGAATGCTGCCGGTCTACCCCCCCCCCTCGTTACATGCCTTCCCTCCCCTCCCCCAACACACATTCCTGTTACCTACATCTTACATTCATAAAACTCGAGCTACGCAAGAAGCACTGCACTTCATTGTCCTGAAACAAGAAATCATCTGAGCTCCTCAACTGCTGCTGCACCTGCACCTACTTGGCGATAACCGTGCTCGTCCAGCAGCCCCTTCTTGATGGCCGTGGTCATGGCGCCCACCCCCAGAGGCTTCGTGAGCAGCAGCACGTCCCCCGGTCGGCCGGTGCTGTTGGCTCGGATGTGGTCGGGGTGCGCCAATCCCGCCACCACCAGCCCAAAGATGGGCTCAGGGGAGTCTATGGAATGTCCACCTGTGGGGTCGAGATGGGTGGATGGGTTCGAAGGAGTTGAGCCCAGGCATGGGGACCAAAAGGGGGTACAAGGAAGCACAGACAATTGATCCCCCAGGGGGAGGTGTAAAGAGTGAGATGGAGGGGGCTACATCGCGAGGCCGGTGGGCTCTTTGAGGACGCACCGGCTTTCCCGCAGTCCACATGTTTCCCCCTCGCTATACCTTCCCAAAGGTATAGCGACCCCCTTTTCCCTGGCCCCCCCGGCTATTCTCTCTCTCCTCCCCATGCCAGAGCCATTCACTCCTCCTTCCCCACGGCGCCGTCCACCCCGAGGAGACATCGCTACACCCGCCACAGCCCTCCCTCTCCACATTCCCCCACCGACACCAAGCCACCTACCGGCCAGGGGGATACCTGCCTTCCTGCACACGTCTGCGCCCCCCTGGATGATCCTCCGAATAACCCCCGCGGGCAGCTTGTTGACCGGCATACCCAACACACTCAGGGCCAGCAGCGGCCGCCCGCCCATGGCGTACACGTCACTGCGGGGCGGAGTGTGGTGCATTGGTGGGTGGGTAGGGGCAGGGTGAGAGAGGACAGAGGTATGACAAACACATGAGCTACCGGGATCACCGGACCGGGATGGGGGAATTGGGGCGGGAAAACACAGAGGGTGACACACACATAACACCCGGAGGGTGGGGCAACAGTGCATGAAAGCCAAAGAGGCAGATGTCAAAGTTCAGATAGCACCCGTTGCCTGCTGCTCCTCAGAGTGGAGGAGCTTCGAAGGTACCAGTCCTGACATGGCGCTGATGCGGCTGATGCGGTGAACGCCTCCATAGCCCTCGCGGCCACCTCTAGCCGACATATGCAGGTCGCGGCATTGCTTCAGGGACCCCCCCGTTCCTTCCCTTCCCTTCCCCCCCTTTCCCCACCCGCGCTCCCCGCCTGCCTGATGGCATTAGCCGCTGCCACCCTGCCAAAGTCCCCCGGGTCGTCCACAATGGGCATGAAGAAGTCGGTAGTGAGGATGAGCGCCTGGGTGGGGCTCAGGCGGTACACGGCGGCGTCATCGCTGGTGGAGGCGCCCACCAGCAGCTCCGGACTGCCTGGAGAGATATGGGGGTGGGGTGCGGCGAGGTGCGGGGCGTTGGCGAGTGTGGGTGGGTGGGTGCGGTCGGGTAGGGTGGGTGGGGTGGCGCGCGGGAGTATGGGGGATGTAAGAAGATGGAAGAGATGCAGATGGTAGCGTAGGAGCTGAAGGATTCCCAGCACCATGTCCTGGTGAGCAGTATGCTAGTGGTGGTTGAGGGAAGTCAAGAAAGGAAGGGAGCTCCGCCACCAGCCCCATCGCTGCATCAACTATCCCCGGGGATGGATCCGTACTGCTTACCAAAGTCGAGTTGCACGTTGAGGAGAATCTCTTGGAGCTTAGCTGGGGCTATTTTGCAGCCACAGCCGCCGCCATGTGACAGCTGCGTCAAGCGGACTTGTGCTCCAGGCTCCGCAGCAGCGCCATCCGCTGCCGGTGCGCTGCTGGTGGTTGCGTAACCCCTGGCTGAAGCCGATACCTCGCGGAACTTTCTATGCCACTGGTGCACTTGCATCCACTGCGCAAAGGGTCGTCGGGTTTATGATGGCTGCGTAACATGATTTCCGGTGCTGGATACTTGGCTAACGAGCTACCTGTGATGGAAACAACGACGGATATGCCCAATTGTGTTGCTGAGCCCTTATGTTTGTGCAGAGACGCAGGAGTGACTTCATGTTGCCTTTCTACGTAAGGATGCCAACGGCTTCCGGTGTATTATGGGAAATGGAAGTTATGCGGTAGAACTGGCTGCTCTCAGCTAGAGATGTAGAAATCTGTTGTTATCGCGTTCTGAGTGCTTGCCTCGGTCTTTGTCCGACAATTACATTTTTGCTTGGTATCAGAACGCTGTACAATTATTTGAAACCGAAACGCAACCTATGCCAACCGATCACGGTATACTGTTATTTGACAATTAGCATTATACATATCGCTTAAGGGGATCACGCATCGCCAACGCCTACTCCGCGATAAGAGTGATCACTTCTCCTATCCCACACCCCTTTCCTGCCGAAAGATGGGCAGCGATGACACGCTTGGTAAAGTAAAGGATCCGCTTGTGGCAGCTGTGCAATGGCTGAAGACGAGACCAGCCAAGACTAAGGTTGCTCTCGGTGGCCTTGGAGCGGTGTTGCTACTGCTTATCCTTTGGCGGACTATCAAGGACCATGATACGTTATTTGTGCTTGCTGAAATGGCGCATTTCATCGGGATTGGCGTCCTTGGATACAAGCTCCAAAAGAAGAAGTCGGTCGCGGGTAAGCCTGCTCCACTTCGTCCTAGGAGCGAGAGATTCCGCACTGCATGTTGGTTGCCATGAACAGTACCGCGGGGCAGAGACCTATGGCTGAGTTTAAATTCATCTGGGCGCAGGTCTGTCGCTACAGACGCAGCTGCTAACCGCCACGTTTTTGGCTGTGCGGCTCTTCTGCAGGTAGAACGGTGCTCTTAAGTCGCTTATTGGTTGGGGTGTTTCGGATTGCACGGCATGGGCCTGCGATCTGTGAGGGGGAGTATTGGAGGAGGGGTGTTGCGGTTTGACCCGTTGGTCTGGTTCGTTGACTGCGGTTGACGGTGGTTAGGCGGAATGGTGCGATGCTCCGCTGATGTCCAAACGCTGATTTCCTAACAAGCCCAGTGTCCAGGGGGGAGAGCGAGTGCTTTGGGTCTGGAAGTCGCACCAGTCCCCACACGGCAGAGGTGCTATCCCTTCCTCCTCTAAGCAGCCACAGCGCTTCTGCGTCTTTGGGGTCGCGCGCATTTGGACAGTATCGACCTAAACCATGGTCTCCAGGCGGCCGCCCCCACCGCCAATCCGCCATGTACCGGCCAGAGCCATGGCCTGGGGCACCTGGTGATATGGCTGCACGCCTGCACCTTTGGACAGTCCTGAGTTCTGATCCCAACCTGACACCGCATGACTTTAGAGGCTTTATCAGTTCTTCCCACGACTTAATGGCCGGTCTTAAACACCCGTCGACGTGAAGTTGTGGTGCCAGATCGCATACGTCCAACACGATAAGATCTTAAGCGGCATGCCAGAGGCTTCTCGCACATCATCCATCCCTCTTTTGCCACCCACCCCACTTACCCCTTTCACACTTCCACCCCGTCCCAATCCATCCCCCTTCTTTTGACTCTCTGCAGCTTTATGATGGAATACGACATTCACACGGTCTTGGACGGGCTGACTCTGCTGGCCACCCTGGGTGTGGTGTTTTGCATGTTGTTCACGGAGATGAAAGCCAGCTACCAGAAGGAACAGGACGTCATCAAATTCTATTACGTAGTGAGTTATGGAGGCCGGGTGGCATTTGGAAAAGGGAAGGCATTGAGGTGAGGGGGTATAGGACGAGAAAACTGCCGGCACAAGCAAAAGGAATATTTAAAAAACGGGCCCAGACGATTTGCTAGCATACCAAGACCTGCAACTGATCGATGTTGGCATGCAAAAGAGCTGCTGAGGGCGGAAGGGCAGCGATAGCGCTCTGCTGGCGACCAGGTTTTAATGTCGTGTGAAGTGCTGCACGAGGAAGCCAGGGCTGTGAAGTGGGAGTGGGGAGCAGCGAAGGAGGGGTTTTGGTAGAGGTGATATCGTGATGACGCTGTGAGTGTGCGTGAGGGGTGATGACCGTAGCCCCGGTTGCCCTTAGGATTGAAGGGTTGGAAGGCTGGAGGTTCGTAGTCGGAGAGGAATGAGAGCGGGTACCTCGTAGTGCCCTTTTCCAAAGGTGGTCGAATGTCCCGTCGTGGTTGACATCTATCTCTCTCGGTGTCTCTCTCTCTCCCTCTTCGCGCTGCCTCCGCCCCTTGCATTGTGATGGTCATATATTTTCCCTTCGTTTTCGCCGACCAGTTCCCCCCCCCTTGACCCTCCTGACCCGTTGCCTTCTTTAACCCGCATCCCTATGTGGAGTTCCTCAGTCTTCTTTTGTGCCATCTCAGTCCGCTTGTTTCTTCCTCGAACCGTTCTCAATGACCATTCCGTTTGTGGAACCTAATCCGACCCCCATTGCAGCTGGGTCCCTGTGCGCTGCTGGCGTTCATCGCGAAGCCCTCCACCTCTCACTACTACCTGTTCCGGGTGAGCCAGGGAGGTGAAGGGAGGTGAAGGGAAAATGTAGTCCCAGCTGGAAAGTGGATAGATGGCCGCATGGGCGTGCGGTTGGGGCTTCGGAGCAAGCGTTGGTTGGGGAGTCGTTCATTGGAGTCGTTCATTGGCAATTAAGGACTCTGTATGGCAAGGGGTTTTTGAGGGGGGCAAGGGGAGGAGGCGGAAGAGGGGATGTGGGAACAGGAGGGTGTGAGGAGGGCTGGCGAACGGAGGAATGGCATGTGTGTATGTGTTCCTGTTGCTCACATCCCTGCCTATTGAGTGCATCTTAAGGATGCAAATTCAACCATTGAAACCGCTGCCACAGGTGTTTTGGGCCTTCTGTGTCTACCTGGAGGCGGTGTCCGTATTCCCGCAGCTGCGAATGATGCAGAAAGCCAAGGTAAGTGCGAGGCGGGTCCTTTCCGGGAGGTTTAGGGGGAAAAGACCTTGTGGCCAAACATCAAAAGCAGCTGCTAAAAGGCGAGCGTATGGCGTTTGCGCAGTGCGAAGGCATGCAAACAACGGGTGGGAGAGGGGGGGACCGGCGAGGGGGTGGTTTTATGGCACATGATACGACGGAAATAGGTCGTGCCGCGTTCCGAATTTTCCGTTCCCCGCATCTTTGCTCTTTGTGGCCTGCTGCCCCCCAATACGAAGAAGCCTGACGGTCTGGTTTATTGGCTATTGCCCGGCTGTATTGGATGTGATACTGGAGACGCCGCGCCGCTCTTTTAACATAAAAGCCAAAAATTTACTGCTGTTTGGCTGTTACTGTTGCTGCTGCTGCTGCTTCGACGTCCTGCTTTGTGTTAAGGTGGTGGAGCGCTTCACTGCGCACTACGTGTTCGCTCTGGGGCTGTCTCGCTTCCTCAGCTGCGCGCACTGGATCTTACAGGTGTGACGGGCACCCCCAAACCCCCCACGGTTCGAAAGGCCTGTCAAGAGAGGCCGGAACGGGTTTGGGGTTGTACTGCTGAGCCCGGAGAGCCGCAGCGAGGGGGGGGTTCCGCAACGCCTCTACTCGCAGCCATCTGTACGGCACCACAGTCCCATTCAGCAATGACACGGCGTGTGTTTCGCAATGCGTATTCATGACGCGTCCCGGGGGGGAAGGGGGAAAGGGGAACGCAGGGAAGGCCAAGAAAGCGGCGGCAGTGGGGAAGGAGGAGGAGGAGAGGAAAGGAGCCAAGCAGGGGCCAGATTAGGGAGGCGGAGAGGGCAGGAGGTCGGCGATGGAGTGAGAATTGGGTTGACAGGGGTGAAAACGCTGGTGACGCTTTTCCGCCTCATTCGTACTTCCCATCCTTTTATGTACGTGGCCAGTCCCCAACGCGGCCCCCATCTAACCATTCACTATCCGTTGTCCTTTCGCCATTTGTTCCCGTACACGTATTGTCGTATTGGCGGCCTCAGATCCTGGAGGGTAACAAGTACCTGCTACAGGCGCTGGGCAGCGGGCTGTGGCCCATCATGGTTCTGGCTTCTGAGGTGGTGCAAACCTTCATCCTTGCAGATTTCTGGTAGGGAGGGCTACGTCTTGGCTGACACAGGCAGGGCTGGGGGCAAACATCGCTTTGATTGGTGGGGAAGCAAAAGACAGGTGACCAATGGCTTTATGGGAACGGAAGGATTAAGACCTTGTAATTAGATGGCTTGGGACGGAAGGGAAGGCAGGGGCTGGGAGCTGCATTGGGGGACATGCTGACAACTGCTTGCGGGGAACAGCTGGAGGTCTTCCTCTCCCTCGCAGCCCGCTTGCTGCCGTGACCTGTCTCCGTTGGCCATGCATTTCACTTTCGGATGCCCATCTTGCACGCCGCTCCGCCATCGCTGCTCCCTCCCTCCTTTCTGCAACAGCTACTATTATGTCAAATCTTACGCGGAGGGCTCCGGGATAGTACGTCTGCCCGCCGGCATCGTCTGAGCCAACCTCGCCGACGGCAAACCTTGATGTTAGAGAGCACATGTGCTGTGCTGTGCTTCGCAATGCGGTGCATGCAGTAGGGCCACGCGATGTGCGAGAAGGCAGGTGCGGCACGCGTTATATGTTTTCTAGGGCTCACGTGTGTGGTGCGTTCCCTACCGCTGCAGATGGGGTGTGGGTTTGGAGTTGATGGTAGAGGTTGTTTGCCTGGTTTCTGGTGGTTTTGGCGTGGCCAGCTGCCAGGCTGTTTGCTTGCAGTGTGGTGTGGCGGCGCATTGGGAGGGTGAAGGTTATGGAGGCCGTGTTGTTGAGGCAGTGATCCTGCAGGCCCTGTGTGCGTGGCGTTGTGGTCGGTTGCCGGGAGGGTTCGTTGCCACAGGTCACGAGTTGCGGCTGAACAAAATAGGCAGAGCGGGTCACTGGCTGTCGAGTGAATGTAGTATAAAGCTCGCGAGTGTGTTTGACGATGTCGCCCTGTGGTATAGATCAGGTTGGATTACAGATAGGTGCGTGTCTGAATGGGGCCGACCTACAAGCCAATGTAGGAAAATGAAGCAAGCTAACTGTGTAGCACCTTATGCAGCAGCCACCGGTGCGCAGTCTCATAAGTTGGTAGGCAGAGATAAGACGCCTCAGCCACTGGAATATAGCTTGTGTCCTCCACATACAACAGAAGCGGCGGATGGGAGCCCCTCCGATGATGCAGGCGTGACATATAGACGTGGGCACCGTGCAATCAGAGATTATATATCTTCATTAAATCCCATTTTCCTGTCACGCACGCAAGGTAGCTGAAAACCTAGCATAATTGCGCACGTACTCATAATTGCCCTGTCCTCCATGCGCTGCATGAACATCCTTTAGAAGAGCATGATGCAAAATGCTTTTGCCAAACCACCATTCTGCCGAACCACTTTTGTATTACCAAATCTCCGTCTCATGGGTCTACAAGTCCATAACCTTATTAGTTCCACCATTGCATGCACGGGCCTAAGTATTGGACAACGCGCCGCATCGCTAACGACCGTAGCAGCATAAGCACACAGCATAACCCACCGTCTTTGCAGCTCAGACCATCTTCGCGGTACGTTGATTATGTTTCCGGAACTCTGGACGAGTACACACCATGCCAGCCGCCGCTCATGCACGTTCACAGCAAAGAAAAGGCAACACAGCAACCCCCAAATGCACGCGGAATCGCGCGGTCGTAGAGACTTTCTCACACGAGGCACGCACACAGAAATCCTGAGATCGGCCTCCTGAGTTGGCAGAGATAGGGACGATATGTAAGACAGCACTTGAAGAGCATCAAGATGCCGCATTCGGCACGGAACACCAATTTAAGATACGGACAATTCCATCGCTTATGCCATTTAACCTCCATGCAAAAGGACCGAAGCGAGAAGCGGATTAATGGATTGCTTTCCCGGCGCGCCTATCAAAGTACGTACTTTCCCAAGGTTTATTTGGTCCATTAACAATCGTACCGCCACAATTCTACCGATCTATCCTACCGACCAATCCTGCCGACACAAGAACATGCTGCACACGGTCCTTGCAGTCCAAGCGCAAGCTACCATTTCAGGAACCTAAACCACGCTAATACAATGTCCATGGCCCCCGGCCTTTTATGGACACTCCCGCACATGTAACTTGTAACTAGCTAACAACTACATTACCACCTGCACCGTGAACGCAGAGCGTCTCTCCCCACGTCCGGCGTATCATATAAGCTATATAGCTACAGGGCGTGGCTTCCGGCTGCTGTGGGCCTTAAAAAGTCGGCGCTGCATCCCCACCCTACACATCCGAACCCTCAGCCCACCCAACCCTAAGCAGCAGCTGCAGCTGTCGTCCCGCTTCACTGTTGCTGCTGCTGTCCGCCGTCGCCGCCGTTGCTGCTGCTACTCTCCTCGACATAGACTTACTTCGCGGGTGAAGCCCCTCCGCACCCATCAAGGTGCCAGACAGCTGACAGCTCCCCAGGGCAACAAGATGGCCACACACACAACACCAAGAAAGCCAAGAAATGCACTATAAGAACCGCCCCCAACGTGAAAGAGCACAGCAGATAAAAAGTAGAAGAAACCTACATGCACCGCCGCAGAGACTAAATACCATTTTACCATAGCTACCGGCCTGCATACTTGCATGGTTCATTTGCGCTTCTACAAGCTGCCGCCGCACAAAGCAGCAGAGCACGGAGCAGCAAAAAAGAGAAACCCTCATAAATTGTGAAGACTGCCCGACTATGGGCCGCCTTGCCTTAGCCCTCTCCCTCCTACCTTCCATCTCTCCCTGCTCTGTTACTCATGGACCTGCTTCTTCAGGGCTTCGCCATTCACCTCCTGGTCTACAACCCGATTCTGAAAACACTCAGGACAGTAACTGTGCCTCACCCTCGTCCTCCTCCTCACATCACTGGCGCACTGCTGCGCCGCCACTCCGCCACTGCCACAGGACAGAGCAACGGCAACTACTCTCTACTTCGTCCCGTCCCCTATTGCGGTCGGCTTGTTCTTCAGCTCCGCCGCATATGCCATCATACCCGCTAGAGCCGCCTGCGTGTTGGCGTCACACGTGGCCATGAGCTGCTGGTGCCTGGCGGGCATGTGCTGCTGCAGACCGGAGAGGGCGTCCGCGTAGAACACGAAAGGGTCCACGGGATCTATGGGGGTGCGAACCTGCGAAAGACCCAGGGATGGGTCGCGTGGGAGTGTGGAGTGTGCGTGAGAGAGGGAGAGGCAAGAAAGCGGAAAGAACAAAGGATAAGTGGGCGGCAACTGCACGGAATGAACAACCACACGTGCGATTTATATCAACGGCTATGCGCAGATGTTGATCGACGCTGGAATGGAAGGAATGACAGTCGTGCCATGAAGCATGCTAGAGTAAAACAGGGAATAATGCAGCGGGAAATTCGGAAGAGTTTGGCGATGATGCCTTGTGTGCGAGAGGCTGTGAGGCTTTGAGGATGGGGCGAGATTTCGACAGGAGGCCGTGTTGAAATTCGGTTGTGGCCTGACTCCCGATACTCCCGAAGCAAGTGCTCAGCAACCGCTTTCTAGCAACTGCGGTTCCTTATTACCCAGTAAGCACAACGCCGTCTACGAAAGGACTTCCTCCTCCCCTCACACAGAGTTATCCCCACCACCGACCATGACCGCCGCAAAACCCCCACCTCTTCATCGTCCGTGAACTCGTCATCCGAGCCCTCACTGCCATCGTCAAGGATATCCCGGGCCCCTCGTCGAAGAGCCTTGTTCAGCTCCTCGTCGTCCTGGCAATAAGCAAGAGCAAAAGACGAGGGAGTGGAAAAGAGTGTCACGGCAAGGCAGCGTGGAGATTAGCTGCACACGAAGAGCGGAATATGGACACCCATCTTCCGGGAGCTGAGAGTCCGGGAACGGTTGTGAATGGTATCAATGAAGCTTAGTGGTTTTTAATTGATGGAAAACATCAAACAATGGGCCGGGACTGCGCAACTCGTGTATGTGTACACGTTTGGCCAACAGCGCTAGGGCATACAGTCCATAGGTGCTCAAACGCACACGGACACCAACGAGACGCACCTCCTCGTCCTCCTCCCCAACGTCCTCGCCTCCATCCTCGTCCTCGTCATCCTCCTCATCCTCCTCGTCGTCCGATCCCGCCTTGGCCGCCTCCTCCATTTCCGCCTGCTGCTCCTTCAGAGCCAGCAGCAGCCGCATAATGCCCGCCTGGACCTACATACCACACAAACCAAAGTAATGGTAATGCGCCAAGGAAACAAAAGGGCCGCAGCACAGGGCTGCACATGTACATACGTACGAGGGGAGGGAAAAGGAATAGACATGGTGAACGTTTTGGGTTTTGGGTTTGGGGTTTGGGGACCCTGAGACTTGAGGAGCCACACACATTACATGATGGGCTGAGTAAAAGCAGAGGAAGAAATAAATGGGAAGGGAGGTTTGAGTTGCAGCGCAGCCGGGGAAACAGGTGCACACAGCGCAGCTGTTTGTATGGCCCTGGTGCATCAGTATCAGTGTGCGGGACGAGTGACCAGGGCACATTGCGGCGGCAATATGAGCTCAACAGGAAGTCCGCAGCTGTCAGGACGCCAACCTCGACCTATAAACCCAACCTCATAAAATTTGAAGGGGTTCGATTCCCCTTTTTGTCCCATCTAAAGCATATCCCTCAGCCCCCAAAGCTCCTCACCTGAGCCAACCCCGCAGTAATCTCCCCGGGTAGGGCCTCATCCGGAACCGCCAGCATCGACACAAGGCCCAACACGCAAACTTTCTTGTCGTGCATGCGACGAAAATGCTTCGGCTTGCCCGACTTCTTGTTGGCAAAAATGGCGGCAAACCACGCCGTGAAGAACTGCCCCACGACGCCCATCTGGACCAACACACTCAGCGCCAGAGCGGCGTTGTAGTACAGCGCGTTCGCGACCACCAGGACGAGCGCGTCCTGCAGATTATGATAGGTAGGTTAGCAGAAATACAATAACATTATCAGCACAGCGGATAGGCAGAGAAAAAAGCAGCAGATTCGGAAAAGAAATGGGGAAATGTGCGCATTATAATTTAAGGATACGATCGGGAAATTCAATTGGACATATGGATACACAAGAGGTCGGTGAAAAAGCGGATATACTTAAACGTGCCACATAAGGTACTCAGATGACATATAAGCGTACAGACAAGTCACAAGAAGAAGATTCAGCTCCTCGCCAGGTACAGCAACATACCAATTCCCCAATCTACCGCTGTATGTATATCAGCGCATTTATCATTCCGGTAAATCCCCCCGAAAGCATTCCCACCTTGAGCGTGCGGTTGGTGGCGGTTTGTAGCTTCCCCAACGCCAGCTGCAGGTAGGGACCGACCCACGGGTCGACCCTGCCGCGGCAGTTCTGCAACACCACCTCCAACAATCTGACCGCTGGCACCACATCGCGCTCCCCAAAGTCACCCTTCAGAGCGCCCTGCACCATGCCGAACAGGCTGGCGCGGTAGTCGGGGGTAGTCGAGGAGAGGAACCGCTCCGGGTCCCGACTGATGAAGTTGTCCAGAGGCACCTGCGAACATTAGACAGATACGATAACATGTGGGCGGGCCGGGAGAGCAGACACACACACAAACAAGAAACACACACACACACATACAAACATGGGTCATAAACAGCTCAGGACAGGACGGGTCATATGACCGGAAGGAACGGAACAGATGACATCCATCAAGACAGGTCACCGCATGCTTGGGCGGATAGACAGTTAGGGTTAAGAGGAGGACACAGGTAACGACGGGGAAAGACTGAAACGGGAGAGCACGAAGCACGAGGTAGCGTCCCCCCGCCCGGTAAGCGACAATTTGTTACCCATAGACCCCCAAGACGCGGAAGTAAATACACCCTCTCTAAGTCTCCAAGAACTGGGTTGAACCAAAAGTAAGATGGCCACACGAGACGCTTCTCCACGAATTGCCCGCCACCCTTCCCGCACTCACCCCATGCACTGTTTCCTCTTACCTCTTCTCTTCCCCCCGCCTACACACACATCCTTCTCCCCCACCCACCAGGATGTTCTCCCAGTAGTCCACCGCCCACTCGTTGACCGCCGCCTCAATCTGGGGCCATAGGGCCCACAACCTCTCGCTGATGGACTGGCCATAGTACGTCAAATACGACAGCATCTCCAGGACCTGTGTACAGCAGGCAACAGGTAGAGTAGTACACAATCAGAAAACGACGACAACGATAACAACAGTGCCAACATCACCACCACCCCAGCAAACCTGGTCTGCAGATAGGCAAACGAAATGACCGTCGGCTCGCCCAAGTGCCGACCTTTCCCCTTTCTTCCTCCTTCCCTCACCCCCTCCCCAAACCCCCAAACCCGTTTCCCGGCGCCCCCTCCCAAAAAAAACAAACCCTCGCTTGGCTCACCTCCTCAAACACATCCTGTCCCTCCGTGGACAGCATCCTGTGCATCAGCGGATACAGCACCTCCTCCAGAGAGGCAACCAACGCGGGCTGGTCGCTGCAGCTCTCCAGCAACGTGTTCAGGGCCCGCATGCAGCCAAACGCGGCAATGCCAGCTGCAACGAGGGACAAGTGGGGAAGCGCGTGAGGGTGAGTGCGGGGGCGGAAGGCGGAAAAGGGATAAGTTAGAACGGTAAAAACTGGAGTCCTGAATGCGAAGCGGGTAGGAGAGATAGAGGACTGGGCAGAGTAGCGACGGGCAGAGAAAGCCCACGCGAAGCCGCGCGACGCTACACCTCCCACACCAAACTACAACAACAACAACAGCAACAACAACGATGCAATTGATATGGCCACCACCATGCCACTGACGCATGTCCTCATGGCGATACAGCGCAGGTGTGCATGTGCACACACACGCAATATCACACACACGCAGGAGAGACCACAGCCCAGCAACCTAGTACCCAACCACCCACCCAGCCACCCACCCGTATCCTCGTCGCCCTCAGCATCCTCGTCTGCCACAGCGCAGTACTTCCAAAACGCACTCGTCAGTTGGGAAGCCATCTGTACGGCGTACGGCCCGATCTTGTCCCCAAACTTGTCCACCAACACCTCCAACGTAAACACCAGGTCCTCGTTATCAACCTGCGCGCGCCGCACGCGTGAGCATCCAAAGAGTGACGACATGCCAGGAGCCGTTCATCGTATATGCGGAAGTTGGTTCCAGAAAACACATGGCGATATGTGTAATAGCGCAGCGGAGTGAGCGAGAATGAAGAAAATCATTTCACGTGGAACGAGAGGTTCGGTTCAGCAACTACCTGACAGAGTATTGGAAGCAGGTTTGGGGCTGCTCGGCCCGTAACTTCCGACAACCCTACAGTGAAAGCCCCAATACCCACTCGGCAACCCCCTTTTCCCCTCCCCTCCCCTCTCCCCCTACCCCTCCTTCTCCAGGCCCACCGGGTACCCCCCCACGACCCGCCCCGACCTGGTTCATGAGTCCGAATATGGAGTTCAGTAGCTGGGGCAGTGCGGGCGCCACGGGCTCCACATCCTCCATCTCCTCCAGAAAGTGACGGAGGGACACCACCGCGTCCACACGCACCGGCAGCTCGGGGTCGCCCAAGCAGCGGGCGACCTGGGGGAGGGACAGAGAGAGAGAAGTACAGCCGAGGAGGGAAAGAGAGAGATAGAGCGGGAAGGATAGGGAAAGGAACATGATGTCGAGCAGAAGGGGGGATCATACCATGATGCAAGAAACTCAGAAACGAACTGCTGACGTCCAAAGTCCGAAAAAAAACACCACTGGAATCCCAAGCGAGTAGAGGGGGGGAGGCGGGCGGGCGAGATATAAGGTGAAATAAAAGGATATGGTGGTGAGAAGTTCATGGGTCCGACGGAAAAGGACTGGCTCAGTCCGGCGAGTGGGGATATCTACCCCCGCCACTACCAACTCCGTGCCTACCCGCCTTTTTACAGCACACGCCCCAAAACTCATTCCCTGCCCAAAACTCATTTCCCCCCCCATCCACCCACACCCATTCATCTGCACCAGCAACCCTTTGCCATCGGCCCCATGGCCCCACCCGACCCAACAATACACCTGCTCAAAGAAGCGCATGTAGGTGGGTCCCCGGTTGGTGCCGTCGGGGAACGTCGTGTCGCAAAACACGCCACTGACCCACACCGCCTTGGAACGAAGGTGGCCGTGAGGCGAAGTGAAGCACGGCATCACGTACGTCGCCATAATGGGGCCAAGCTGGTCCTTGTACGGCTTCTGCATTGCAGTACAACACAGTACAGTTCTTTTCATGGTACCTGTGCGTGGATGTGCATGACAGCATGGCAAACAAAGCACGGAGCAAAGCTAAACAACAACAACGACGACGCAAGGGCGTCAGAGAGCCGATCCAGGGAAAGGTCAACAAGGGATCGCGGCCTCAACCTCTCCCTCCCAGAGCCCATCCATCCGCAGCCCTCCTCTCCTCCCCTCTCCCCCCTCCCCGAAGCCCATCCTAACGCGCCCCGTAACTCCCACTTTCAAAGACACACAGCGAATAGGGAGATTTTTCCCCACATTCCCATTGCTCTACCCCACTAAAGCCTCATCACCACTCTGAAACCCACAGCAACAACTCAACATAACACACATTTCCCCGCCCACTTCCACTGTCATGTACTCACCTCACCTCACCCACCCATCCCAGCCCATGTTTACACACGCACACAGACCCCCCTAGTGCTCACCTTGGACTTGAGCAGGGGCGCCAGGCAGCCCACCGCCAGCAACGCCCCGTCCACCCTCCGCGCCTCCGCCACGGTGGGCACTCCGCCCTCTCCTACTGTACGACCAAAACCCGAAAGCAGCCCCGCCACCAGGCTCATAAAAGCATCCAGATGAGAGCGCTTCTTGCTGCACAGGTCGTGAGCAAAGTTGGCTGCGGCAGTTTTGGGCGAGTACATGTCCTCGAGGATGTCGTAACCCTGACGATCAGGAGAGAGGTGGCGCGCACAAAACGACATCGTCGAGGGGGTTCAGCACGAGGAGTTGAAATGGGAGTTGAAATGCGTGTGTGGCGCTTAGTAGCGCTTGGGGGCGGGTCCCTTGTGCATATCACTTACCCCCGTTACGTTACCACCCCTACCTTTCCTTCAAAACTTGCCATCCCATTAACCCACCCTTCCCCTCTACCCCCTCGCCCTCCCCTCCACCGTTGCTTTTGCAAATTCCCCTCCGCCTCCGCCTCCACCTCCCTGCCCCACCCCCCCAGCACCTTGCGGATGTACTCCTGGGGGTCCTCCGCCCACAACCTGGCGTCCTCGTCGTTGAAGGCCATGAGCGGGAAGGCCACGTGGTGCAGCAGCTGGTCCCAGGAGGAGCCCACTCGCTTGTAACACGAGGGCAGGTTGACCGCGTGGCTCATGTACTGCATGCGGTCAGGTGTGGTGCGGCGGGATGAAGGTGTGGCGCGGCGGGGAAACAAGCGACGTTGACACAAAGTCAACATTAATGTGTCTTGAACAATATTATTCACAGCACTGGAGAATGGCGAAGGTAAGGCCACGAAGGAAGGCTCATGTACCGCTCAAATTAGACACGCGGAGGGGGGGGGGAAACACGGTGTCTTATGACCCACTTCTATGACCCACGCCCCGGCCCTTTGCTTGGGCGGAGGCACTCATCCCTTTCCCCCCCATCCTTGGCGCCACGGGGCACCGTTCCCAATCCCACTTCCATCGACTCACCTGGAACAGCAGGTTGGTGCAGCGGGGGCTGAAGTACGTCCCCTGGGCCAGCTGGGACATAAGGCCCAGGTGGGCATCCAAGAAGTGCATCATGCACTCAGACTGAGGGACAAATGAAGCGGCGGGAGGTGAGAGATGGAGAGGGACATTGTAGACGTGAGAGCAGGGGAGGCCAGGAGAGGGAGGGGCCATGGCTGGGTCGGTGGGTCGGTGGATGGTGTTAACCTTTGGGCTTAATCACAATTTCACAAAACCAAACCTAACGCGACCCACGTAATGTCGTGAAAATAATATCATGATTGGGGTTTAGGTTTATAAAAGGTATGGGGATTTCATGGGGATAAGTTTCAGGTCTTGAACAGCCCACATGCCTACCGCACTCCTCTCCTTTACTCTGCTCCTTACTGAACACCCGTCCTCAAGCCTTACTACTCCTTCACCCCCTCTCTCCTCCACTCCTTCACATCGACCTCACCGCGTACAGCTCGGCAAACGGCTTCTCCGTGCCATCGCGGCAGTTCTTCGGCTGACCATACCTGCACCGGGCGGGGGGGAGTGGGGGCGCGCAGGGTGGGGGAAGAAAGGTTGAGGGGGGAAGTCGGAGGTATGGGGACAGGCGGCAGGACGTTCGTGCGTGCACGGTTAAGCGTGTGAACGTGTGCCAGGCAGACATCCGCTTACATGGGAAGGCTTTATGAGCTTGCAAATGAGCACATGCACCTGTTGCCAAGGTGCGTGCCTACCGCAGAGCATACGCCTCTCCACGCATTCACTCATACCCACATACCATCTGGACTTCAAGGACGGTGGGTGTTTGTCGTAACCCGTCACCCCCCCCACGTAAATCATATTAGAATTACGATGATGAGATTTTACATCCTTCTAGCACTTACATACATACATATATACTTACATACCTATAGGACAGGTATGTAGTCATATTCCCGTATACACACGCATACATATCTCACCTGTTGTACAGACGGTAGGTGATGTGCAGCACCCACTTCTTGGCCTTCCACCAAGGGGCGGCGGGCCGGTCGTTGGGGTCCAGGGAGGCGACATCCTGACGCAAGGAAGCGGAGGGGGCGAGCGGCTAAGACAGCCAAGCAAAACATCCGACCCATTCTCCAGACCAACAACGTGGAAAGTAGTTCGTATTCCAATGGGTTGGGAGGGACTTCATGCATGAGACCTCGGACTCCGCTGAATACCTCCGTGCAGATCCGGCGGTGCGCTCCACTCTTCCTCCAAAACGCTAAAACCCCATCCCTCCATCCAGTCGGCTCACAAAAGGGAGCCCCTTTGTGCGCCCCACAGCCGTCCCAAACACATGCACAACAACATAGTGGATGCGCTCCCCAGCACCCTCCAACCAACCCAACCCACCGCCCCGCACCCACCGCCGGCTCCGCCTGGGTCAGTGCGGAGTGCAGGGCGCCCATCCAGCCGGTGAAGGTCTCCGGCTCCAGCAGGGCAGCAGGCACACCCATGTAGGTGGACGACCAAAACGTCTTACATACCAATTTGATGTAACCGGAGATCTGGTCCAAGGGAAAAAATCCCAGGGAAAAAACACAGATTCATAGGGGTACGGGGCGCGGGAGCCCGGAGAAGATGAGCGGGATCAGGGCGTTGGAGAAAAACCAACCGGACCTTTACACAGAGGCTTGATATCTTAGCCCGGCATGTATGTATGAACGTGAATATATGCGTTTGTAGTGGATTGGCTTCCCCTTTTCACATCAGAAGGACAAGGCTCACACGCTCATGCGCAACCCGCAAACCCCTCCCCCCCCTCCATGCAACCGCACTCCCGCAACACCACGTGCCCCACTGTAAAGAGGGATACCCAAGATACGTCCCCCCCTCCCCTAGAATAGTGGAGTACTCGACTCTGATCTGTCGACACACGCGCCCACGCACGTGCCAAACAACCCTTCATGACATCATGGCATCACCATCGGCATACAAACCCAGTGCCCGTATCCAACAGCACATTTTCGGCATACAAACCCAGTGCCCGTATCCAACAGCACATTTTCACACCTACATACATACCTGCGCACTGGGTGGCGCCGCCAGCAGCTGCCTAAAGATGTGCAGCAGCAGCGGGAAGGCGGTGGTGATGATTCCCTCCAGGGGAGCCCGCTCCTCCTCGTCACGGAATTCGTACTTGCGAGCCAGCAGCCGCAGAGCCAACAACCCCCCGTGGACACGGCTCTGGTCCTGTAAGGCGGATGTTGGCAAGGGGAATGGGGGGTAGCGTTAGCGTTGGGGGGGCAAACGGTGCATTAGTTCATGACATACGGATAAAAGCTGTTGCAGACAAAGGTCGTGTAGAAGCAAAAAAAGCAAAAGGTTAACACCGCACCGTACCTACGCCGTACCTGCGCCGAGAGGTTGCCGTACAGCGCCTGCAGCAGCCCCGGCCACTGCTCGGGGTAGTCGCAGTAGACAATGATCTTGAACACCTCGGACAGCTGAGACTGAATGTTGTGAGGAGCACTGCGGGGCAAGAAAGAAAGAAAGAGCAAATATTGAAGGACCAAATGGCATCAGACGCTCTGTCTTCTTGCCTGTTTGTGGAGCGACCCAGATCCACTCGTTCCCATTTTCTCTCCCTAACCTTCCACCCTCGTCCACTCCCGCTTGAACAGAATTTCTCTTCACAAAGATACGGAACACGAACTTCGATGGCCGGCGTCCTCCCCCTCCCTCCCGCCCCCTCCCCGGCCCAACCCCACACGCACCCTACCTCACCCACCGGATCATAGCCTCCAGGATGTTCTGTCGAACAACCTCCTTGTCCGAGTCCGGGATGACATACTGCGTTGATGTCCCGCCTGATGATGGGCGGCAAGGAGCCAAGACATTCGCGGCTAAGGCTAGGTCGCAGTAACGCAACCCCATAACATCAGGGCCCCTTGAAGTTGAAAACTGCGGTACCAAAACGCCTTAAAGGCCTAACGCTAAAGGGCTAACGCTTCCATTCGCCGTAATACCTAAACAAAAAGGCCTCTCCTGGCATGTAAATTGATTGGGTGCAGATGCTGGTCCGGTCGGATCACCTATTAAGCTAACTCCAATAACCCCCCGCGGTCGAGATTCTAATTATTTATGGATCTGACAGTCCAGGAAACGCCAATGCCAGATGGTGGACTGCTGTGGGGCTTGGGGGGATGCCTTCCCAAACCCCGCAGTACCTGTTCGCACGCAAGCCCATCGAGATGTTCTTATGAACACCCACGCAACCGCATGGCATTCTATAGGGCATGGTGTGGCGAGCAGAAACTGCTGGCATAAGCGGGTTTTACATGTAAGCTTTCATACCCCTCCTCCGTATGCAGCATTGACACATGGTGGGGCCCCGCCAAGGCGGATCTCCGTGGGGAAAGCATAACTCGCAAGATAAAGAGATGTGAGGGAGGAAGGAAATCTAAACACCATCAGGGACCCTTACTGTGGGCAACGTCCGTGCTGCGATGAAAAACCCAACACGAATCAAGCCGAGACTGACCGCCCGTTGTATGCCAAGCATACCTTGCAGAGTTTCATGCGCTTCTGACTTATCCCAACTCCGCTTTACAAAGTTTTTAAAGTTGATGGCTGCCATATGCCGGACTCCCGCATCGACTGATTCCTCTGCTGCCACGCGCAAGAGCTGCACGGCCTGTCCCGGCAGCTGCTCATGCTGCATATTGATCGACAAAAGCGCGGTGCATAGGGTGCATCGTCAATACAGGTAATTTCTGAGGATTTAATTGGCGGCAGTTGGCGGCGCCCAGCCCAACGGGGCAAGCCATACCTGCTTTAAAACCCGCTCCGCCTCCTTGACATGATTTTGATCATGACTTAGACACGCTTGCAAAACTGGCAGCAGCGCCTGAATGTCCATGCTCCCTTTCCAGGTAAAGCAGCAGGTTCAAGGTCCGTCAGAAACAATAAAATAGGCCCAAATAAACTAGAAACAAAGTATACAGGTTTATGCTGTGGAGCCCTTACTTTATTATGAGCAAGGAGGAAGGCAGCGCAATGAATAGCGCTTTGAAACGGAGCCGAATTCCACGCCGGCTGTCGCACCCTATCTTTATCTGGGGTGCTGTTATTTCACTGACGGCGACAACACGTGTATTACTGGACGGCTAGCCTGTTACCGTACCTTTAAAGTGTGTACGTCACACGGCCAGGATCCCGCAGCCCTTGTGCCCACCTCGCAAAGAAAATAAAACTTACAATTGCAACAAAGCAAGTACTTCAAATCCTGTGGTGATGCTTACGGTCTTCCCTTTGCTTAAGTATCCGCAAATAACCGGTTGCCGTGGGCTGCCATTCAGCCGGGGTGGTTCGTCGGTGCTGGCGGGGACCCAGCGACAAGTGACCATCATGATTCTGAACTCAACGTGAGGAGAACTTGGGAGCAGCTTGCGCTGTGAGGTGCACGCAGCAAAATCACCCAGGTCCATCGCAACCTCCGCACATGGCTTCTGGACGTGTTCCCGCATTTAAGACCGCAAGCTCGCTCCATTCCACGTACGTCTCCTCCCTTCATAAGGTTGCTACTTGAGGCCATGGGTAACGTCCATATGGGGTTTACGGAGGCAAGCACTCCTGGCTGCCGTATCTCAGACGCTCTTCCTCGACGAGTGAACGGGTGGACGACGTATGCTTTAATCGACCAGAGAGAATATCCTGAGCAGACGCTGATTGATGAGGATTATTTGAAGTAGAGCTTAAAGGGTCAAAAGCCAGCGTCAACCTCGCGAACGAGGGGTATGGTATGGTTTTGTTTGCATGCCGGGGAGAGCAATTCTCACACCCGAAAAATAGCTGTGAAGGACAACTGCTGGGCCGCGCTTTGGACACGTCCTGCAAATCGGACTTCCCTCGGAAGGGATTAGGGGAAGGTCGGCCAAAACATCTTCCACATTTCAGGAGATACTGATGGCTGCTGAATTGGCTGAAGATGTGTGACAGCTCATTGTTGTTGCCTTTCGCTTGCAGCGTGGCGATGGTGGTTGTGCCGAGACGGTTGGTCACTGATAGCCTTCTGAAGTTTTCGTTAATTGTCTAACCCACGCCAATCTGGTATACGCTGGACCCATCTGACATATTGCTAAAAAAATTGCAGTATCCTTACAGGCCTGCATTGATTTGAAAGCCACGCAAAGGCAGCTTTGCAGGAAAACGGCATCACATATCTCTTGCCACTCCATCCTGAATACGGGCGCTAGTTTAGAGGCTCTTTAGTTTAAAACTACCTCTTCGACCATCTCCTGTTTGTCAAGGCATCCTGTTTGTCAAGGCAACAGCGACACACAACCACCGTTCGCAGTTCGCAAAATGGTCGCAATATCGCAATAGCATCATGCATATAAATGACATAGTTACCCTCATCGGGGTCGCTTGACACCCACGACCTAAACGCGCTGTGGCTTTTGTCGCTCCTTTGTGCCGCGACGCCTGCCGCACACATCACATCATCCTTCACACATTCATCGCAAGTGGCAAAGCACTACTTCATGTCGCAGCCTGCAGAAACTACCGGACAGGACGGCCTCCCTTCAGGAGGGCTCGTCACGGGTCTTCCATCCACCGCACCCCAGGCCATTCCCCCCAGCGGACACATTCAATTCGACCCTGCCATGACGCATCTACTGTCCGGCATCGCAGCCCAGCTTCAAGCCGCTGCAGCCGCTGCCGCATCAGCCTCCCCTGCTGCAGGACCCGCCCAAGTTGACCCGCCCCAGCCACAACCCCAGACAGCCGGAACTCCCCAAGCAGCAGCACCACAACCACAGTCACCACCTTCTACCTCGCCGTACGCAGCTCCCGACGGCCTAGCCTTGAAACCGGAGGCCGTGCCGGCTTTTGGCGGACTGGGTGGACTGGGTGGCCTAGGACTAGATTTAACCCACCCTGGACCGCCTTTGCTGGCCTGTCCTTCAGTCCCAGGCCCCGGCCCGGGCTTGACACCCGGGTTTGGAGGGGGCTCAACTCTTGCTGCTGCTACTGCTGCTGCTACTGCTGGTGGTGCAGCGACCGTTGCTGCGACTGCACCCAAGTCCGCAGGAGCCCCATTCGATCCGGAGGCGTTAGCGGCGGCTCTTACCGCACGTATGAGCGCAGCCGGGGCGTCCATCATTTTCGAGAAGGCTCTGACTGCGAGCGACGTCAGTGGGGGCGGCAGGGTGGTGGTGCCCAAGGTGCGCCAGGGCGTGCAGGAGCCTGGTGCTCGGGGAGTGGGGCGACGAGGGGGAAGAAGGGAAGCAGGGGAAGGGTGGGAAGCGATAAAGGAGTTCGAAACACAGACCGAGCGCGAGGGGAAGGGAGGGGAAGGAAGGGGAAGAAGCTGACCGAGTCGGATGAGGGGGGTGGCGGCGGCAGGGCGCCCCGGGGCCTTAAAGAAGGTGAAGGTTGGAGCGCGACCCAGATCAGCTTAGGGACCCAGATCACGGGCCAAGCACATCGCGACCCCATCTTGCGACTGGCTCAGGGAGGTCAACACTATCCACCCAAATCGACACCATCAACTTCCATATTCTCCTTTCTCAGTCCACCCCCTCGTTCTCTCTTCCAGCAACGTCCTGTGTTTCTTTTTCGCTCCCTCCCCCTTCCCGTAACGCTCTGCTCCCAGTCCATTGCCGAGCAGTACTTCCCCAAACTGGAGCAGCCCAGCGGGGTCACCATTTCCGCGACCGACTTGGACGGCAGGTCGTACACATTCAAGTGGAGGTGCGCGGGGGCACATGGGCACATGGGGACATGGGGATGTGGTGCTTGGACGGGGTATCGCTCGTAAGCAGGACACGCAGTGAGGAGCTCCCTGAGATGAGAGGTCTGTGCAGCGCGTGATGTGAGGGGGGTTTAGAGGGGGGTACGACGAAGCACAGACGATTGTCGAAAAGGAAATACCGATGACGGATAGGGGTATATGGGGGCCCCACTGGGGTTGTTAGGAGGTGACGGGCCAGGAGGTAGGGGGTGTAGGGGCGGGCCTGGGTAGGGGCACGGAATGCGAGCCAAGTGGAACCGTGGGCAAGTACGACATCACCCGGGGATGCCGTACTGTGCCGCTCACCAGAGTGAGGTGCCTCGCCTGGACAGCCCACGGGTTTGTTTGGACCGTACGAGCTCCCGAGGCTTGTAGTAATCCGTACATCCGTACATCCATCCGGTGCGTTTTAAGACGGCAGGATCAGGAGCTGAGGGCTCCAGTGGAACATGGCGAAATTGGGGCGATGGACGTACATACATACAAAAAACGTACAAGATGCCATCGCAAACATGCGTAGTTCCTGGCCGTCTACCTTAAGAAGACGTAACCTTACCTGAAGTAGCTTCATGAGTCCGCCCCTTCGCCCCTCCTGGAAGGTTCTGGGTCAATAACAGCAGCCGCATGTACCTGCTGGAGGGAGCGGGTGAGCTGCACAGGAACTACGGACTGGAGGTGAGGTGTGCTGCGGGGTGGCTGGGCAGGTATGTGGTTATCTGGCATGATTGGTGGTCGGGTGGGTGGGGAGGGGTGGGAGTGGAAGGAGGTGTGTCTGGGTTGCGTGGGGAGAGGGGACGATTGTTACAAGCTATTGCAGCTATATCGCTGCGGCTTTCACTTGTGGCTGGATTTCCTAGAAGCCTTCCTGATTACGATTTTTGCTGCTGTTGTTGTTGTTGTTTTGTTGTTGTTGTTATTGCTGTTGTTACTGTGTTCTTGCTGCTGGTGTGATTTGATGTGATGGTTGCGATATGCGCAGGTGGGCGACGTGATGGTGTTCGCGCAGAAGGCCGACGGCTCACTGATGGTGGCGGGCAGGGCCGCAAGCAAGGTGAGGAGATGTGTGTGTGTGTGTGTGTTACGTGGTTGGTGGGTGCGTGACCCCATACCTGTAAAACTCTACCCATACGAGCCAAAGGCCCAAGGAGATGTGGACGGGGAGCCAGGCACGGGGCAGGGGGCACGGGGACGGTTCACTTGGCCTGAGGATTTGTTAGGTGCCGTCTTTACGGGTGTTTGTCAGAAAGGCGCCACTAGCACACGGGCCCTAAGGGCGACAGCAACACGAGCGAATGCTTGAGGGCAGGGACAGGGGACAGAAATCTGTACAGCACGACTCTGGCTTCCCGCACCCCCTTTCGTACTTGACCCTTTTCCAACTTTGTTGGCTGGCTGGGTGGTGTTTTTGCCGGTGGTGGTGGTGATGATGATGATGATGATGATGGTGGTGGTGGTGGTGGTGGTGGCCGTCTGGACGGCTGGTGGTGATGGTGATGGTGATGGTGATGGTGATGATGGTTTGTGGGAGCCCAGTCCGATCAAGTGAAGAGGCCACCCGCAAAGCGCCCAGCTACAGCAGCTGTTGCCGGCGGCTCCAGTGGTGGCGGTGGTGCAGGCGCCGGAGGAGGAGGAGGAGGTCAGGCGCCTCGCAGCCGCGACGCGCGAGCACCGCGCCCTCGTCCAGCTGTGGCTGCATCCGCTGGCGCGGCAGCGGAGGGCGCAGCGGCCGCGGCCGCGGCGGCGCAGCCGATCCCTGGGCGCCTGACGGCCGGCGGCGGCCCTAGTACGGCAGTTGCTTCCGCCGACGCCAGCCTGTTGCGTGGTGGCGGTGGTGGCGGACGAAAGCGGAAGGTCTCCTCCTCCGCAGCAACAGCAGCAGCAGCGACGGGGGCGGCGGTAGGTGGTCTGGCCGCGGACCCCACCCGGTTTCGTGTGCGGCCTGGCGATGAGGGGCTGACGTCGCTGGCAGTGCTGGACATGGAGGCGCCCTCTGACGGGATATTCCGGGTGCGTGGGGAGGTGGAGTGGGGGGATGGAGTGGGGGGGTGGTATGTGGGGAGGTGGAGTGGGGAGGTGGAGTGGGGAGGTGGAGTGGGGAGGTGGAGTGGGGAGGTGGAGTGGGGAGGTGGAGTGGGGAATTGAGGATGTGGTTGGGGAATCAGGTGGGGGCTGCCGACCACATGTACGTACGCACACCCACACGCCGACACTATGTTGGTGTTGTGGCCCCCACGGTGCGCCCGTGGTGTACTGTACTGTACTGTACTGTACTGTGTTGGCAAACCCTAAAGCCGCAGCTGTCTGTGTCCATGGAAAGGTACGCGCAACCCAAAGCCAACCTCCGTATTTCCTCTCGCTCCGCAACCCATGACCCAGAGTATCAGAAGTTCTTTTGAGCTGACTGCCGGGAGGTGGGGCCATGTTTTTGTTTTTTTGCAGGGCGAATGGGGGTGATACTTATTTCCTCCGACCGCTTCCCTTTCCTTCTCCTTTCTCAGGCGGTGGTGCAGCACGTGTCGCCGGTGTCCCTGGGTGTGGCTCTGGCCCGCAACAACCGCTGGACGGCCACGCTGGAAGTAGCTGGTGAGGGCGGGTGGATCAGCGGGTGGCGGCCACAGTGGAAAGCTGAAGAACTTCGCCTCCACCCCAGTCGTGCACATCATGACCCCATTCGGATTTATCCGCAAGCCATTGTCCCAATGTTGAAGTTAGAAAGAAGAAAAGTCGAAAGAAGTTAAAATGTTAGCTTGATCTAACCCCCAACGCCTGCACGCGATTATTGGAATCTGATTCTACGAATCTTAGAACCAGACGCTTAGAGGCCGGAATATCACGCTTGGATTTTCCGTGTGTAGACGGGTATTTGCATGTATGCCCCTTCCTCGCCCCTGCCGTGCTGCCCCATCACTGTTCCACCACGGTCCCGCCAAACCACACAACACAACACCACAACAGATCACAACACGTGGCGGTACAACACCACACCAAACAACATCACATCACACCACGCCTGGCGCCCAACACCCTTTCGACCCCCAGGCGAGTTCTACCAGGCCTTCTTCGACTCGCGGGAGGATGCGGTGGAGGCGGTAACGGCGGCGGGGGCATCTCCCTGAGCAGGACAGGGAAGTGGGAGATCTTGTTCATTCTCCATGCCGTGGAGAATGGACACAGGGCAGGAAGGACGGGTCCTGGAGGAGTAAGGAGCCTGGAGGAGCAGAGGATAAGCGTGAGGATGAGCAGGAGGGCAACGGCAGGAAGATCAGCAGGAAGGGGAGGAGGAGGAGTTGAGGGGCAGGGAGTTGTCCCCGCCATAGGCCGTACCGAATGGTGCATGTTGACATATCCTCAGATAGTCGTGTGTTGGCTGATGACAGTCCAACGCTGTTGCACTTCAGGACTGCCGAAGAGGCTGTTGAGGTCATCGTCCAATTTGTGCGAGCAGCACGTTGGGTGACTGAAAGAGTGCTTGGAGCAAGCGTCGTTTTTGTGCGGCATGTTATGCGTGTGATGAGGGCAGCAGGCCCTATGGGCCCGTATGGCAAATCTCGCCCTGCAGAGGGCGGACGAGTTTTCTGCATGCATGACCGTACAAAAAGGAAAAGCTGCAAACCTCCGTTCGGCACTAAACCCAAACAATCCGACGGTTTAGGGTTGAGGAGTTAAAAGTTCTATCAAAGGATCTCACATTTCTACACAGCCTCCGGTACAAGGGAAAGTTGTTTTGAGTCCTCCAACTGTTCCTTTCATATCAGTTAAGGGCAACATGCCGTACTGTACGGATGGCCCAACGGCGCTAGAGTGCACGCATGCTAACGTCTCTATGAAGTGAGTTACCACTCATGAAGCTGGACATGCTAAAAAGCCAGGACCGGTGATAGCACTGACGCCAAATGCATCACGTGATAGGGTACGTCGCTGGGAAGGGCTGGGAGCTAACAGCTCCAGTGCTAGTCCCAGACATATATCGGCGTATTACAACCTCTCCCAGGAAAGACCCGCTTCTAGAAACAAACATCCATTTTGGATCCATCCATCCCTACATCTCCAAACCCAAGGCTGCAGTATCCAGTCCTCCATCCTCCATCTACACACTACCTGACGCCCCCTTAACTGTGTCACCCCACAACACTAAACCCTAAGCTACAACTAAAATAACTCCATCACACCAGCCCTTTTGCTCACTTTAGGTGAACTCTTAGCTGACGCCAGAATCCAGATCCTAATAAATAGCAACTGCGCTCAAGGCGGCCAGCCAGACAGCTTTCCTCCATACTCCCAGCTGTCATACCCGCCGCGAAATAAGTTCCATCGGCTATACCGGCCCACCACCATCCCCAGGACGCCCAGCAGGTAGCGGCGGCGGCGGCGGCAGCAGCCCATGTGCCGCACAAGACAGCGCAATGAGCACCCGCTGGAACTCCTCAACGCTCCCCAGCACTGACCCACGGGCCGCCAGGGGGTCAGGTGCACAATTCGCCTCCACCAACCGCTTCCGCGGTCTCCCTCGGACCCGGCCACCTTCCCTGGCGCCAACACCAGCGCCGGAGCCTTGACTTGCAGAAGTCGTCCTCGTCGTCGTAGTAGCGGCTGCTGATGCTGGTGAAAGCGATGATGATGTTGTTGATGATAATGTCGAAGATGCTTTCTCGGCGGTCTTAAAGGTGTCGGATGCAGGAACGGTGGTGGTCAGGAGGACCGGCTCCGAGGGGTCGTCGGAGAAAGCGGCAGCTGCAGCGGCTGCAGCCCGGGCAGCTTGCAGTGCGGGCTCCCGCAACTCCTGCGGCACCCGGGTCGGGAGGGGGGAAGGGAGGGGGACGGAATCATCTGATGATGCAAGGAGCCTGGCTCCCTTCCTGGCTCCCTCCCTGGGATTTGCCAAAGACGTGAACACGCCAACGATGAAGCACAATGTCAGGAGGAGTGCGGATTGTGAATGCCTGGGGTCATGTAGTTGATTGGGTGGTGTGTACCGTACTTGAATTGTTAGTTGCAGCAGCTGCCACGCGCGCTGCTGCTGGTTCTCCCATCCCTCCCCTTCCTCTCCTCCGTCCTCTTCCGGATGCTGCTGCTGCTGCTGCTCCTCCTCCTCAACCGCCGCCACTGCCGCCGCCACTGCCTCCTCCGCATCCATGGCCAAGTTAGACAAAAGGTCTGCAACGACGTTCTGAGACCTGGGGAAGGGGGGAGGGGGATGCCGGGTTCTCACTTGCATTTGGGGTTGAGCGATTTCGTGTACGGGTGGCTGTGGGTGCTTGTGGGAAGGGGGAAGCATCAAGGCAGGTCGTAACCTCCATCGAACCTTCCAGGCACTCAGCAGGCTACAAGGCATGCAACCCTAACCCCAAGAAATACACATGCATGAGCGGAACGAGGGCCTCCATTGCAATCCTCCTGAGCTTGCCAATTTTTACTGTCTCCCCCATCCTCCTCCTCCTCCTCCTCGTCATCAAGGCCCCCCTTCCATTTCCCTCTTCCCTCTTCCCCCACCACCCCCCAACGCACACACTGCTGCGCGAATCACCTGGGAACGTGTTTTACTTCAAACGACGCCAGGCCCTCCCTCAGTCGAAACACCCGGGCGGCCAGGGGCTGTAGCGCCGGGGTGTTCACGCCATAGCGCCCGGAGACCTGTGTGACATGAGGTGTCGCACAGCAGCTTGTCAGAGGGAACATCAGTGGCAGCGGCCAGAGAGTAGCAGCAACAGCAGTAGCAGATTGAGGAGAAGTAAAAAAAAGCGTAGCAGTTGTAGTAGCAGTAGTAGTAGCAGTCTTCCTTGTCGTACTATGTCCACAACCCCGGGTACACCATCCATCCAGTCTATAGGGCCACACCTGGCGGCATACGAGCTCAGAGTCGCCTTGTACGATAAGGTGTCGTACGCCCATATCCACTGCCACCTGATGGGAAGCGGCCAAAGGATGAGACAGGAGGAACAGGGCCCCCAAGGCCCAGGGGGGGTTTGGTGGGTGAGGGATCGGGGGTTATCCAAAGGTACATACATACGTACATTACCCCCCGCTCTCGCGGCCCACAGTGTAATCTAAGTCATACATACATACATACATATAGGCAGGCGGCTGGCAGAGGTTAAGGCCTGACTTCTGCTCCCAGTCGACCCAGTCGACCCGGGTTCAAATCCGCCTGCCGGCTCCTCGGGTGTTTGAGGAGTGATGAAATGGGAGGTGGCCCCCCATCTTATGGACGGTGTAGGACGTGATAATATCAACTTGCGAGCTGACCAGGAACTAAGTTGATGCGCCGTTGATCCGCTAGATTTGGTTGGATGCTGGTGGTGAGTTGCCGAACCCAACGAATACATTCTGAAGTCGGATGGGGTGACGGATTAGGGTGCCCCTCTAGCAGGGGAGAGCAGGGACTGCCCCGGGAAAGGGGGCCGCTGGCGAAGTTAACCACCCTGTAACAACATACATACATATATACGCCTCCAGACGCAGCAAACATGCTAAGGCGCGGCGTAGTGTCCCCAGAACGTTTTCAGGATTGATCAAACAGCGGGTTGAAGATATCTCTTAGACCGTAAGAGGGTGGATGTGGGTGCCCCCATGCGGATGGGCGGTGATGGACACCCCCCGGTCTTAGTGAGAGACCTGCGAGCCCACCACCACCACCACCACCGGGAGTGGAGTGCAGTGCAGTGGAGGTGTCACTGCTGTTGATCGGGCGGCAAATTCTACTGGATGAATGCCGGTGGCGGTGGTTGTGGTGGGTGCTGGTCTGCTGAACCCAAAAGAGCCACTGATTTCGCGCAAAAGTCGGCGCACATGGGTGACAAGAAGGATGAAAGGATGGAAAAACCCACATGCGGTGGGTCCACACACACCTTCATCCCAGCCGCCAGCGCACTCCACTCCGCCACGTTGTTGCTGCTGCGAACCAACGGACCCGCCACACACTCCACCGGCCGGCCGCTGGCCTCATCCACCAACACCGCCCCGAAGCCCGCGTCACCCGGGTTGCGACGAGAACCGCCGTCGAACTCCTGTGTGAACGTGAGGTGAGGTGCGGTGCGGCGGATAGGGACGTGGAGGTAGGGGTGCAGGCGAGGCGGGGAAGCCGGCGGAGGGTAACGTGGGGGTGGGGATGAGGATGAGGGCGTACCGCGAACCGTCCTGTTGTTGTGTTGTTCGTAACAATTCCGCGGCAGTTCCCAACTTCCCCTTTTCCATTCCGCCGACATGGCCCTCACAACCGGGCTACTTCCATACGGCAGCCAACGTGCTTGCCGGTGTGTGTCTGTATGTGTGTGTATGCGTGTGTCTCTACGTATGAAGGTGTGCGCGCCCGTCCATCGACTGCCACCCGCGCACTGCCGTCCCCCTCCCTACCCTCCCTCTACCCCCCCCCCACCACCACCCCGGCCTCTCACCAGTCGGTATATTCGGGTGGGGTCCACAACGCCCGTCAATGCGCTGAAGTCCAACACCACCTCCTCCTCCTCCTCCTTCCCCCCTACCGCCCTCTCATACAGCTCCTCCTGCTCGAATTCGTCCAGGAACACACGGCCACTGCCACCTCCTCCTGCTCCGCGTCCTCCTCCGCTACCGGCCCCACTGCCACCGCCTCCTCCTGAACTGCCATCACTGAACTGGTCAGGAACCTCGCTCGCGACTGCCCTCCTCCCCTCAGCACCAACCGCAGCTGCAACCTCCGGGTCGATATTGCTGCTGCGACTGCTGCTGCTGCTGCTGCCGGTGGTGGTGACGTTACAGGTTGCTACTGGCGGTGGTGGAAGTGGTGGTGTTGGTGACCCATCAATATGCCCCCTGGTCGCTGCGTGCTGGTGTGACGGGCTTGGACTCTGTGGGGCTGCTAGGGCTAGGTACGAGTACGCCTCAGGCAGCTTCTTGAACCTCCTGAGCAGGTCGAGTCCAGCCAAGTCAGGGGGTAGGAGAGTGGGAGTGGGAGTGCACAGAGGTGCGTGGACGTGTGATATGCATCGCCGAGTGGGGGAGTGAAGGTTTGTGTGGAAAAGGTGAGGCACCAGGGCAGTGCGGGACACGAGTATGTACGTATGTATGTATTTTTCCGTTCGGTCTGGGCAAGACATAAAACACCCTCCAGGTGCAAACCCTCCCCTCCGTAACCCCACCC